TGCCCCCATTTCTGTTTGGGAATTTGAAGTTGGGCAGTAGCCCCTCTAATCGCCGAGAAGATTTTGGACTGGGGGGGGGGGGCTAAAATGGCCTCAGGTCGATTTAAAGGTACCGTGTAATCAACGCCGAAAACCTTAGACTTTATCTCAATCAATTGAGAAGTTGCTGCACCTTGAAATTAGTTTTGATTTGAAAAAAAAACAACGCAAAATAGATATTTTTGGCAATTTTGAGAGGTCCCCCCGTTGCCACATGGTAACTAAAAATTTAGAATTGAGCATGCTATTCCACAGGCTATGGTCCAGCCAACATTTGTCCCAGTTTGATTAGTATTGAAGCATTTTTTTATAGTTTCATAGCAGTTTGAACTTGTAACAAGAGGCTTAATAAAATGAAAACCGACATATTTCGCAATATGCTCATGCAGAAAAAGGTTAAGACGATACTGGCATGCTTGGACGGCATAAGCCCTCAGGCCAATATTTTACTAAGTGTGTAAGGCAAACTTGCCCTGTTAAACCCTATTATTAATGTCATCTAAATATGTTTTTTATTCTTCTTCTTTTCAGAGATGGGTCTTCTTGATCATAGTTTCTTGAGACTTGTATTTAAAGATTATTATCGTCACTTTTGATGGTTCTACCCTGCTTCCGACCCTGCACACACTTTAATTCATCCATAGTGTGACTTTCAATCAAATGGGAAACTAAATCTCTGTATTTGCCATAGGAAAAGAACAGTAATAACACTGAAAATGCATTGTTAAATATGAAATATTTGAATAAATATCATATAAACAGTACATCATCAGCAAATGATAAACAGACGTGAAAATTAGACAAAAATATTGATTTTCCATACTAATGTACTCATTTTGTTTTGCAATACACTGTACACTAAAGTTGGGCTATTTTGCAATACTCTGTACACTTAAACTCAATACTCGGTACACTTTCTTGTTTCTTTTATGGCCTGTATCTTTTTGTACTTTCACACTTTTTGTGACGATTTTTAACGATTCTACAGTATCGAGGTCACTATTTTCTAGTGAGCAGCGGGTCGTTTAGGGGTAGTTTAATCAAGTTTACAAATACCTGTAATACTTTTACGTCTTTTAGAGCTACAAAAATAACTCTAGATATATAAAACCCGTTGAGATAAATGAAATAGCCATTAGTTTGGAAAATATCGTCGCTGAACTTACCTTCGTTCCCCGTTCAAAGTCGCGAAATGGGATGAAAGTCCTCATAATATCGAGGAATATCCGGGGTATGGTATACCGCAGTGTTTTTTTTTTATTTCTTAAATTACACATTAGATTTTGCTTTTAGTATTAATTCTAGAAAATCGTACTGGTATATTTTGTATTTTATAGATTAGCTGCATTTTTTTTTATTAAAGTAACGGTTCGATTTGAGTATTTTTATGCATGTTCCTAAACGAAAACGAAATATACGAGAGTGTTGCTCACAGAGGGCGAGCATGTTTAGCACATAATAAAACTTAGCTATTTTCCTTACATTTCAGGACGGCTTAAATTAATATCTTTATAAAGGATTGGACACTTTTAACAGTGTTTTTCAAGCTAATGTTTCTTGGACATGTTTTAATCATGTTTATGTGTTGAAGATTTTGAAAACTTAAGCTTTACTAGGGAAAGTCATGACAACATTCATAGAGTATATAACACTATTAGCCTATCTATCTTTGAACATTGTTGATGTTTTCTCATTGTAATATACAACACTACGTACCGTGTATACAGTGAGAAAGAAAATCGCACAAATTACATGTTTTTCTTTCCTTGCTTCGTATTTGATTTAATTTTCTTTGGACCGGGTGCAAGCACTTATTTCCAGTAGGGTCCTTACCTCAGCAAACTCTATAGAGACAGCTATGAGATACAAGCAGTCCCTAGCTCTTATTATATTGAATAGATACCTTGGTTCTTTTACATGCCCAGTGTATAGCACTGATACATGCGAGGATTACCTGGATTTCTTACCAGTAGTTAGGTGAGAAAGTGTTTCTGATAAATCCCAAGAGTATTACCCAGGATCGAACCCGGAACCTCAGGAGTGACAGCCAGTGGTCTAACCAACTGAGCTATCGCGCCACTTAGCTCTATAGACTTGTGAATATGCATACCAATCATCTTATTGCTTTTTATTTCCTTAGGCATATTTCTCAACTCAAATACCATTAATTAATTTATTTATTAATTAATTAATTAATAAATAATTAATTAAAGGCCCTTTGAGCCATATAAGTGCTAAAAATTCATATTTATAAAAAGAATTTCACTCTTGATGTTTTGTTTTAGTTTCCTAAATAGGGCGTATTGGCCAAATAACAGTTGCCCTTTGCTTCTTTGTCATATAAGTATTTATTATAGAGATAGTGATTTAGCATTTTGAATGGAAGTCAAATTATGTCACTTTGTTTACATTTTGCTATATTTATGACATATCATTACACTTTAAGCACTTCTCTGTTCAAATGATAAGCGCCTATCAGGCTTCAGTTCCATTCTTAAATTGAAGGAACGTTTTATTACACTCATGACATTCTTCTATTATTTTTAAAATCAGTTACTGGATAATCGGGAAAAAATGGCCGGACTGACAAATATAATTTTCGACTAGCGCCTTGGCCTATATTACTTTCATCCATTCAATATATTCCCGTACATAAGATTTGTTGAACTAATACACTGTACAACATTTACGTGTGAACAAATTATGTTTCTAACCACTGTTCATAATTAAGGCCATGTCGTATGTGAGGAAGAATCTGTTTTGTGAAACTGTCTTACTGTCTGGGTGTCTCGTGATGGCATTCTGTATTCTGATGTTGACCTATTTTCTTTTGGGCTTCCTTGTCTCAGGTTTAGAAATGTCAAATGTATGAGACAGAGAAATTAATAATTTACCACTGATTTCATCAAACGTCAATTCGTCTGCCTTCGTAGTAACATCTCGGGCAAATACTTTAAATGTTCTTACACTGTTTGCTCATACGGCACTTTATAAGCCCTTCTTGATAAATCAGGTTGGGAAGGTCGTCCTCTGGCTAAATCAGGTAGGGAAGGTCGTCCTCTGGCTAAATCAGGTTGGGAAGGTCGTCCTCTGGCTAAATCAGGTAGGGAAGGTCGTCCTCTGGCTAAATCAGGTAGGAAATGTCGTCCTCTAGCTAAATCAGGTAGAGAAGGTCGACCTCTGGCTAAATCAGGTAGGAAAGGTCGTCCTCTGGCTAAATCAGGTAGAGAAGGTCGTCCTCTGGCTAAATCAGGTAGAAAAGGTCGTCCTCTGGCTAAATCAGGTAGAGAGGTCGTCCTCTGGCTAAATCAGGTAGAGAAGGTCGTCCTCTGGCTAAATCAGGTAGGGAAGGTCGTCTCTGGCTTAATCAGGTAGGGAAGGTCGTCCTCTGGCTAAATCAGGTAGGGAAGGTCGTCCTCTGGCTAAATCAGGTTTGGGATGGTCGTCCTCTGGCTAAATCAGGTAGGGAAGGTCGTCCTCTGGCTAAATCAGGTTGGGATGGTCGTCCTCTGGCTAAATCAGGTAGGGAAGGTCGTCCTCTGGCTAAATCAGGTAGGAAAGGTCGTCCTCTGGCTAAATCAGGTAGGCAAGGTCGTCCTCTGGCTAAATCAGGCAGGAAAGGTCGTCATCTGGCTAAATCAGGTAGGGATGGTCGTCCTCTGGCTAAATCAGGTAGGGAAGGTCGTCCTCTGGCTAAATCAGGTAGGAAAGGTCGTCCTCTGACTAAATCAGGTAGGAAAGGTCGTCCTCTGGCTAAATCAGGTAGAGAAGGTCGTCCTCTGACTAAATCAGGTAGGAAAGGTCGTCCTCTGGCTAAATCAGGTAGAGAAGGTCGTCCTCTGGCTAAATCAGGTAGAGAAGGTCGTCCTCTGGCTAAATCAGGTAGAGAAGGTCGTCCTCTGGCTTAATCAGGTAGGGATGGTCGTCCTCTGGCTAAATCAGGTAGGGAAGGTCGTCCTCTGGCTAAATCAGGTTGGGATGGTCGTCCTCTGGCTAAATCAGGTAGGGAAGGTCGTCCTCTGGCTAAATCAGGTAGGAAAGGTCGTCCTCTGGCTAAATCAGGTAGGGATGGTCGTCCTCTGGCTAAATCAGGTAGGAAAGGTCGTCCTCTGGCTAAACCAGGTAGGGAAGGTCGTCCTCTGGCTAAATCGGGTAGAAAAGGTCGTCCTCTGGGCGTCCATAAGCTCCATTTGAAATCACGCTTTTGAATGAGGCTGCAATGACGGAAGATTGCATCGCCAGGCTCCTGAAATATGAATGTTTTCGTTGATTTACGTCCTCATGAAAACTGTTTTCGTTGAGCAATATACACGTACTCTGTGATAAACTTACTCATTTTATGGACGAAAAGAAATTGAAGAAAACATGGTTTACATGTGTCCATCATCAAGGAACATTAGCAATTAATTTCATCGTGGAATAAGTTACTCATTCTAAAATTTAAGTATAAAAAAACACGATACGTGTTTATTCTGTATAATATGACTGTTAAATGTTCAATTAATAAAACAAACATTACAATAATTATATATATTTACCATTATAGCACTTTTAACGCAAAAGTTGCTCTTAACCTTGAAAACATAAGCAGCACATCTAAGAAATCAGGACACGCGCATCTAACCGAGAACAAGAACAAGCGCAACCTTCACAGACTTTCTATCGTTACTGGCGTCAGGACCCAGTGGGTAGGTAAGTTAATGAACGTCACAGACTTTTCTATCGTTACTGGCGTCAGGACCCAGTGGGAAGGTAAGTTAATGAACGTCTCAGTAGCCCAGTTAATGCACTCTTTCCTGCCGGCAGTCCAGGTAATGAAGGAGAGAACAACATTCCAGTATCAATTAAATTATTACAATTATCAATATAGTTGTTTGTAGCTTTATTGAACACTAATATATCCAGATTAATCGGCGCATGAAATAATAAAAAAAGTGTAAACGGTAATCTTGCATACTCACAGATCCACTTTGAACACCATCTGTACTTATAATTTCTTCATTGAATGAGAACGTTTGTGGCAGGTTTGGTACTGTTTTTGTGATAGGAAGTCCCGGACAAATTAAGCCACTTGGTACCTGTGTGACAAGAAACCGATTATTTCTTGAGGATAAATGACATTATACTTTATTTCAACTTTCAACACCTGTAACGACATAATAATCTGTTCCTAAATATAAACACCACTCCGATCTAACTAACCATCTTCTCTCATCCCATATACCATCTCATCATAGTATATCCCGGTAGTTATGCTGACTTGTGCAATATCTAAATTTATCACACACCCGTGCCGATTTTGCGACTCCGTAAAAATGGTATTGCACGGCCGTGCATATATTTTGACGTGACGTCATTAGTGTTATACAAACATAGTGTCAAAAAGCGCTAAATGTTAGCGTTATACTATAGGCGCGTCAATGAAAAATGACTTATTTTACTTTAAACGGTCTTTATTTTGGGAATGTGATAAATAGAATATTAAATTCGTGTAAGTTCATTACAGAATTTATTGCACGAGTTGAATAAAATAATATTATGCTCGCCAGAGGCTCGCATAATATAATTTTATTCAACTCTTGCAATAAATTCAGTATTGAACTTACACTCAATCAATATCCTCTATTGTCATAACACGAATTGTCTCAATGAAATGTTTTCTATTTACGAAATATTTGAAACACACTTCTGTTTTAAAACAATATTTAATAATAAATTGATAAAACGCTCTAAATTTGTGTTTGTTTGTTTCATTTTACGCCTTTTTCCAACAGTATTTCAGTCATATAGGCGGGCAGTTTCCTAACCATCGTTCCTGGAGAGTTACACCAGTACTAGACTACCTTCCTCCGCGCTAAGCATTTTATGCTTTAATTTCTAGTCTAATCTGTGCAAAATTGCTGAATTTAAATGCGTTTAATCCAAACATTAAGAATACCTCAAAAACAGAATTGTCTTCCCAGATTTTATTTCTGAAGTCAAAATATTCATATATATGGTGTATTGGAACATCTTGTGGTATCATATATTTGGAACCTAAAATCTCTGCAAGCACGGGCACTTGTCTCGGTGAAGATGGAGAACTCCAGTTGTATGCTGGGAAATAAAAGATTGCATAATATAAATATACTATAGGAGTACAATCTTGAGATGATTTAATATGCTTTCCGTGTAAGTTATTGTATTCCATTGGTATGGCAATTCATTCTTGAAAATTAATGCTTTATTAGTTAACAAGTATCTTTGGAATTCGGGTTACTATGGAAAAGAAATAACCAGCTCGTATATTATATGAATCTTGGAAATTGAAGGTTGAGATTGGTTGTTTTTGTTTTTACTATTGATTAATCTTTTTTAGTTACAAATTTGAAATTTATTCAGAATTTGGGTAAACGTGTATAATTAATTAATTGACATGTAATCAAAATGGCTGCTTATAATTATAAAAATGGGAATTGGTGCTCTTTATTATCAACTGCCATTGACAGTTATAGAGGACTGTGAAAGTAAAGGAAAGAGCAGATGTGAATTATTTATATATAACAGGACTTGATCCACATTGTATGTAAATATATGATTATGTCTGTATAATTTATGTGAGTTAATTAATGGTTGGTAATATGTTTATTCTTTATTTCAAGTTGGATAAGGTACCAATATTTGTAAGCTAGCTTGACTGCAATTTTAATTAAAAGGTAACCATGGTAACGGTTATACATGTATGTGTACACATGTGCTTAATCTTTGTTATACAGTAATATGTTAAATTTGTTATACAGTAATATGTTATATTTGTTATACAGTAATATGTTATATTTGTTATACAGTAATATGTTATATTTGTTATACAGTAATATGTTACATTTGTTATACAGTAATATGTTACATTTGTTATACAGTAATATGTTATATTTGTTATACAGTAATATGTTACATTTGTTATACAGTAATATGTTATATTTGTTATACAGTAATATGTTATATTTGTTATACAGTAATATGTTATATTTGTTATACAGTAATATGTTATATTTGTTATACAGTAATATGTTATATTATGTTATATTTGTTATACAGTAATATGTTATATTTGTTATACAGTAATATGTTATATTTGTTATACAGTAAAATGTTATATTTATTATACAGTAATATGTTATAATTGTTATACAGTAATATGTTATAATTGTTATACAGTAATATGTTATATTTGTTATACAATAATATGTTATATTTGTTATACAGTACTATGTTATATTTGTTATACAGTAATATGTTATATTTGTTATACAGTAATATGTTATATTTGTTATACAGTAATATGTTATATTTGTTATACAGTAATATGTTATATTTGTTATACAGTAATATGTTATATTTGTTATACAGTAATATGTTATATTTGTTATACAGTAATATGTTATATTTGTTATACAGTAATATGTTATATTTGTTATACAGTAATATGTTATATTTGTTATACAGTAATATTTTATATTTGTTATACAGTAATATGTTATATTTGTTATACAGTAATATGTTATATTTGTTATACAGTAATATGTTATATTTGTTATACAGTAATATGTTATATTTGTTATACAGTAATATGTTATATTTGTTATACAGTAATATGTTATATTTGTTATACAGTAATATGTTATATTTGTTATACAGTAATATGTTATATTTGTTTAATGAAGGGCTTGTATAGTACATATACAGTATTCGCTGGAATCAGGCTAGTTTGATGTATTGAACCCTGGTACCGAGAAACTGATGGCTAGGGCCAGTGCGGCCTTCGTTATTATATTAGGGCTGGAGCCCACCTGGTCAGAACTATATATCACCATGAGGGGACTTACCCGAAAAATAATAATCTAAGGTGAAGTTAGCTTGCGGCCAGATTATACATGACTGCCACCAATCACAGTTTATATCACGAACAGTTTTCCTTCCTTTGTATAGCTAAAATGAAGAGAGAGAAAAACTTTGAATCGAAAGTGTTTTTCTTAGTTCAATAATATGCCATTGTTCTATGCTTTAACTCATATCACCAACTATAACAATATACAAAAAGTTTTCCATTCTTTTCTTAAAATCTTAAATATCAATACAGAATTACCAAAGCAAAACTCAAATTCAAAACTCTCAGACAGCAATTTATAATATTATTACAGTAGAAAATGTCACAGTGTTTTGAATTACGAGATTAAAGAGTTTTATTTTGGTATATATCTTTGTATATTATACTGAATTTGTACGCTAAAATGACTAAAAAGTTTATAATATTATTATATTATTGGTAAAAGAAATTAAAATACTCGAACCGATTTAAAACTTAATTAAATGCTTTGACATATCTAATCAAAGCAGAGAAGGCGCTGAATTTGTTTGGGTCTCAGAATGTCAGAAAGGTGAAGGTTGTGAGATTATAAACCAATTTGTTTGTAAAGTGTCACCAAATTCTGTTTCCAGTGTTATAACTATAGTTAATTGGCTATAAGACTAATTGCAATACTGATATTCAATTCAATGTTTATTTGGCTTAATCAATTAAAAAAACAAACAAAAAAACACAAGTTGCCTGAACTGTGATTTGAACTCCGGACTTCTCGCTTGTAAACCCCTCGACCACGGGGAGTTATAAAATAACAGCCTGAAGAATACCATATTATTCCCAATTAGAGTTTGTAACCCTTATTAATTTCAATATATTTTGTTCAAGGAAAACCTGTTGTTTAACACTGAAGTACATAATCATGGAGCTGAATATAAACATGTATATTTATAAGAATAACACAATATTAGGAATCTTCGACCAATCGAAACTATTTTTTCGTTACGAAAATTAATGCGCCTGTCATTTTAAATCTTTACGCAGTGATCTCCCTTTAATTTTTCGGCGTAAATGTACATATGAAGGGAGTAACCGCTTTGAGGAGTTTGGACTACATTCGGCATTTGCAAATAAGAACATCAGGGTCTGAAATTTCGCTACCATTATTTGTTTGGTCTGACGACCCAAACAAATAATAAACGGTGACACTGCTATAAATATCAGCACCGTTATATGACCCCCCACCGCGCTTAATGTAGAACAATCGTCTTTCGTTAAATGCTGTAAACTAAATGATGAAACTTTCAAAGATGTGTTTATGCCACGAGATGTCGTAACAAAACCATTATCCCTGACAACACTTATTCTCTGATCAACATTTTAGCCGCGTCACGACAAAACCAACGTAATGCGTGTGACTAGCATGGATCAAGACCAGCCTGCGCATCCGCGCAGTCTGATTTGGATCCATGCTGTTCGCTATCAGTTTCTCTACTTGTAATAGGGTTTGTAAGCGAACAGAATGGATCCTGATCAGACTGCGCGGATGTGCAGGCTGATCTGGATCCATGCTGGTCGCAAACGCATTATGTCGGTTTTGTCGTGGCTCATTTAACGCTGCTACATACTAGTACATGTAGATTGTAAGAAGATAAGAACAGAAGAGTATCATAATAGCCAAGTTCATTAAACTTGAAGGGATTGTTATCCTTACATTGATACATCTATTATCATTATAATTTACGACATTCTTGTATTTTGATAATATGATCTCGTATACATGGCTGGCCACAATTATGAACAGTTTCAAATTAAAGATATACAACACCTTAACTTACCAGACCATTTGCTTTATCGAAGTTGAGAGTTCCGGAAGTGGAATTACCAGTTTGTTTAGCACCAATAAGAATTGACTGGTCCGTCGTTAAATAATCACGAACATAGCAAGAACCATCTGGAATTTAATTCAGTTATATACACATATTATTGTTTACTTGAAATTCACATACTAAATTCGTAAGAGAGATAACGGAGAGTGCAACGTATTTGTATTTTACCCCCCTCCCCCTCCCCCTCACCGGCTTAAGCATCAATTAAATGATTGGAATCACTTCTCACTTCCATTCTGCATTGGCGGGAGATTTGTACCTGCATACCAGCTGCCGGTGTCCTACTAATACCTAGGAGTGTGGCTAAAGGGGACGAGGATGGTGTGCTTGGGTGCGTGAGCCCTTAGCACAGTACAACGGCTTGAAAGGCAGGTCCTTTATTCGGCACCAATTGCCGTTTTCAGGGCTACCTCCTTTTCTAAATTGGCTCGGGTCACTGTATATTAAGGTTCTCATTAGCCGCCGTACAGTGACCTACAATACCGAGATAAGGTCCAAACATCTTTATAAGCTCTTGTTGTGAGGAAAGGGGGATATATAGAGTAATGAAGACATATATAAATATAAAACCAAATAGTTGAAATACATGCAATAAAAGAACATTCTAGTAACACTTCAGGAAAACAGTATTTAATTGATATTTTGTATTAAATAATCACATCCAGTAATTACATTACATACTCACATCCGGTATAAGAACACTTCAAATAAAAGAAATATCTCAAATCATTAACTAGCTGACAATAAAATATTAGATTTTATACCATTGAGTGCTGTATTCCTCAACTTAATATTTAAATCTTCATTAAGTTAAAAACATTTTTTTGTATTTATTGCATGAAGTAAACTTACTGTTGACGAAAATTGTTTGATTTATATCAAAATCAAAAATAGAAGTACTGAGTTGATTGTTGGCAAACATTTTAACAGTCGCTCGTTTTCTTCTTTCATCGTAAAATATTTTCCCAGTTTTCGTTACTTTCCTGTCTAAAAGTTGCGCCTCGACTTGTACTTGAAAGGTTTTCGGGAGAACAGGCAGTGGGGGTAACCTTGTGCTTACAGGAACTATAATTCAAATGGAGATAAAATTTAAGCATATTTGCTGCAATGCTTGAAGATGAATTCGTCTATTTTTTTCATTTACATGTTACAGTATACATAAAATAAAGTGGCCAATATGACACCTGGTATGCTGTTATATAACTTAACAAAATAAAGTGGCCAATATGACACCTGATATGCTGTTATATAACTTAACAAAATAAAGTGGCCAATATGACACCTGGTATGCTGTTATATAACTTAACAACATAAAGTGGCAAATTTGACTCCTGATATGCTGTTATATAACTTAACAACATAAAGTGGCCAATATGACACCTGGTATGCTGTTATATAACTTAACAACATAAAGTGGCCAATATGACACCTGGTATGCTGTTTATATAACTTAACAACATAAAGTGGCCAATATGACACCTGGTATGCTGTTATATAACTTAACAACATAAAGTGGCCAATATGACACCTGGTATGCTGTTATATAACTTAACAACATAAAGTGGCCAATATGACACCTGGTATGCTGTTATATAACTTTACAACATAAAGTGGCCAATATGACACCTGGTATGCTGTTATATAACTTAACAACATAAAGTGGCCAATATGACACCTGATATGCTGTTATATAACTTAACAACATAAAGTGGCCAATATGACACCTGGTATGCTGTTATATAACTTAACAACATAAAGTGGCCAATATGACACCTGATATGCTGTTAAAAACTTAACAACATAAAGTGGCAAATTTGACACCTGATATGCTGTTAATAACTTAACAACATAAAGTAGCCAATATGACACCTGATATGCTGTTAATAACTTAACAACATAAAGTGGCAAATTTGACACCTGATATGCTGTTAATAACTTAACAACATAAAGTGGCCAATATGACACCTGATACGCTGTTAATAACTTAATAACATAAAGTGGCCAATTTGACACCTGATATGCTGTTAATAACTTAACAACATAAAGTGGCAAATATGACACCTGATATGCTGTTAATAACTTAACAACATAAAGTGGCAAATTTGACACATGATGTGCTGTTATATAACTTAACAACATAAAGTGGCCAATATGACACCATATATTTGCTGTTAATAACAGTTTCCATGGCAGTGTATCGTATTGAACTGGTGAACCTCCAAACTGTCATCTGTTTTAGTTGTGAATACAATTGATTTACTAACTTGTGATGGTTTTATATACATGTTGTTTTATGTATCTGTAGACAAGTATTTTTCAGAACCACAAATGGTATTGTATTCCTTAAAAGCTATGTTATAAAGATATTATTCAACATCGGTTGAATGTCCCACTACTGTTATTACTCCAACGGTTGAATATTCCGTTACCGTTCACTTTTGAAGTAACGGCAGTGTGCCAAGGTACGTGCGTGCATGTTCATGTATATATATTTATCCGAGTGATTTAGTGTCTATGGGTTTCTACAAATTATATACGCTACTCAATGTTCATAAATTGTTAAACATAATTTTATATTAGTAAACATTACATAGCAGGACTACAGTAATTTACAACCAGATGCTTGAAGAACAATGCGTGTATGAATAAATCATGGCAATAGATTTTAACGTGTTTATATAAATTTTACAAAACTTAATAATTTCAAATACCTTAAATAGAAAATAAAAGAAAAACATCAACTCTTTGAATATTTTTGATTATAATAATTATGTAGGAAATTTGGTATTTATATGTTAACAATAGTAAATACTATCAGATATTTCTGCTTGGAAATCAGAATATTTTAGATTTTTAATGTAATACTACATTAAGATAATTTCATTCGATGTATCTGAAAAGCGGAATTGTCTTTTGTAGGTTGGTAAACAGAAAAATGATAAAACATGAAACCTGAATATCTCGGACACATAAAAAAGTAGTGGTGTTTGTTAAAATCAATGTACTTTAATCAAAGTTAAAGTATGAACTACCATCTCTAGCTACTAAAGTAGTGTCTGACATACAAACTTTTTTATCATAACTTACGATTTGGATCACGTATGTATGAATTCTTTTGTGCACAATATCCAGGGAATGTCCAGTCCGCAAAAACTTGTTGAGACACTGTTACAGTGAGCATGACAAAAGACAACCTTATATATACCTGATAATGTAAAGAATATATAAATGTGACGATGATGATAATGGTAATGACAATGATGGTAGTAGTGAAGGTGATGATGATGATGATGGCATTGATAATTGTGGTGGTACTGGTGGTAATGAAGATGATGGTCGTGGTGGTGGTGGAGATGTGGATGATGATGCCACCGGTGGCGATGATTCCGTGGTGTTGGTGAATATGATGGCTGACGATGGTGGTGGTAATAATGATCATGGTAGTTGTGGTGTTTGGGGCTGGTGCTGGTGCCGGTGCTGATTGATATGTTATTGGTGATGATTATAATGGTGTTGGTGATGATAATGGTGGTGGTGGTGGTGATGATGATAATGGTGGTGATGATGATGATAATGTTGGTGGTGATGATAATGGTGTTGGTGATAATGGTGCTGGTGATGATGATGATGATAATGGTGTTGGTGATAATGGTGCTGGTGATGATGATGATGATAATGGTGTTGGTGATAATGGTGCTGGTGATGATGATGATGATAATGGTGTTGGTGATGATAATAATGGTGGTGGTGACAATGATGACGTGACGTTATTGTGGTGATGATGATGATGATGATGATGATGAAGACGACGACGACGATGATTATTATAGTGCTGGTTGTTATATATATTGATTTACAATAATGAGATTATAAATCACATTAACAACTTTGATATGATTTGTGACCAGCAGGTTCAAAACAAACATCTACAATTACAATAAGATAATATAAACATCATCCGTAACAAGGAGGTAAAATTAAAATGTTATCTTTTACAAGCAGTTACAAAAATAATGCTATCTGTTACTTGCATTTAATAATTATGTTATATTTTGCAAGAATATATAATCTTTTATAAAACATACTGTATAGATTTATTTTCGAGTATACTGTAAATTATAACTTACCATTCTTCAATTTTTGTTAATCTTTACCGAATAAGAATTATATTTTTAAAGATGACTGACTGAATGTAAAACATTCATGTTAATAAAGTAACATATTGTAAACATATCATATACATCACTTTGAACACGTTTAGATAAGTTTTATCATTTTTCTGTTTGTATTGCAGCGCCATCTCCGACCCGGCCTGACACCATGGTTAAAAATAAACAAAAAATGATAAAAGGTGATGATAATATGGCTGCACCTATACGAATGTAAACTGATAATTAACGTGAAATTTTAGTTTAATTCATGCTTATATCTTGATGACTGTTTAATAATGGACTTTAACACTTGATATCGGCAGAAATCTCCATCCCTTCATTTCTACAGCTTGAAGGAAGGTGCACTATATTTTATAAACATACATGGGTTAATTGATAAGTTTTGAGCGTCATTACTGGTATTAAAGAGTTAGACATATTGCATCATTTTTAATCGTTTCTAGCAATGTTAAGGGGCCTCGATGTCACTTAAAAAACCTTTCCTTGACCATTCAGAGAGTAATGCATTACATGCATGATATCCGCTGACAGTAAATGTACCGAAATGGCCTTTATGATTCTTAGACATAAATGAAAGTGTGATGAAGCAAGATCAGGTGAATAAGACTGAATTTCATTCAATAACCAAACTCGTTAATGGCAGCCATGACATTGTCACAGCATTGCTTTTGTAGAACAACACAATTTTACCGTAGCGCTTGATTATTGAATACTGGTTATGCATGATAGGTACAATAGTTAGTCCTTTTTTAGTCCTTTTTGCAAATAATGTACCAGTACCAACAGAATGCAAATGCCATGGTCAGGACTGCACCACGAATTGTTATATCAGTTAAGATGTACTTGATTATATCACACATTTTGTAATGTAGCCTGTTTATCAGACATAATGTATCTGTTTGTTGTATCAGACATAATGAAGGCTGTTTGTAATATCAGACATAATGTAGCCTCTGTATTATATCAGACATAATGTAGCCTGTTTGTTATATCAGACATAATATAGTCTGTTTATCATTTCTCTTGTTTAGGTAGGACGTGACTATATATATGATCCCCATATCCATATCCACTCTTGAATTTATGTAGAAAGTGACTGGTAACCGCAGTCATTATACCTCTCTCTTGTATAAATACAACATGACATGTATCATTTCCATGTGACACATAAACACAGTCCAAACCCACTCTCTAGTGACTCATATACTAAGTTCTCATATCCTCTCTCTAATTTAACTTATAAACACACTACCCATATCCACACTTTAGTTTAAGTAAAACTTGACACATATCCACAGTCCCCAAATCCATACTTTAGTTTAAGAAGATCCTAACACCTATACAGAGTTCCGGTATCAACTCTCCACACTTTTAAGTTTAATGTGACATGTATTTTTCGTTTAACAAAATCTTTCTCTTAACTTTCGAAGAATGTGGACAGGCATTGAAACAGGTGACACATGATTTATATGCATGTACCGGTTCTAGGTATGATTATATAACTATATATGTACCGGTTCTAGGCATTATTATACAACTATATATGTACATGTTCTAGGCATGATTATACAACTATATATATGTACCTGTTCTAGGCATGATTATACAACTATATATGTACATGTTCTAGGCATGATTATACAACTATATATATGTACCTGTTCTAGGCATGATTATATATGTACCTGTTCTAGGCATGATTATACAACTATATATGTACCTGTTCTAGGCATGATTATACAACTATATATGTACCTGTTCTAGGCATGATTATACAACTATATATGTACCTGTTCTAGGCATGATTATACAACTATATATGTACCTGTTCTAGGCATGATTATACAACTATATATGTACCTGTTCTAGGCATGATTATACAACTATATATGTACCTGTTCTAGGCATGATTATACAACTATATATATGTACCTGCTCTAGGCATGATTATACAACTATATATGTACCTGTTCTAGGCATGATTTTACATATATATATGTATGTTCTGTTCTAGGCATGATTATACAACTATATATATATGTACCTGTTCTAGCATGATTATACACTATATATATGTACCTGCTCTAGGCATGATTGAACAACTATATATGTACCTGTTCTAGGCATGATTATACAACTACTATATGTACCTGTTCTAGGCATGATTATACAACTACTAGTATATATGTACCTGTTCTAGGCATGATTATACAGCTACACATATGTACCTGTTCTAGGCATGATTATACAACTACTAGTATATATGTACCTGTTCTAGGCATGATTATACAACTACTATAATATATGTACCTGTTCTAGGCATGATTATACAAGTTATTTATTCTATGAATAATCATTAATTTTCCCAGAATATGACTTTGCATTTACCTTAATGGAGAATCACTTTTTAGTGAACATCTTCGGACATTTTTGTAGCCTTTCAAAAATTCCCTTTGTCGGATTAGATTACCTAAAAACAAGAACAAGTCATGGTGTTACATTAACCTTTTTCCGACAAGATAAATCTATAATCACACGCAGTACAGGTAATTGCGATGTACACTAGATAAAACAAGAAGGCCATAATGGCCCTGAAATAGCTCATCTGTACATAGGCCCCGGGGCGGGGCCATTTTTAACCCAGGGGCTTTTATTTGAACAAACTTGGTAGACACCCATTTGGAGATGTTTCATGATAAATATCTAAGCTCTAAGATTTTTTAAGTATTTACTATACACATATAGGGAAAACAATGACCCCCCCTTTGGCGCGGCCGATTTTGTCCTCAGGGCTTTTATTTGAACAAACTTGGTAGACACTCACTAGAAGATAGTTCATGCTTAATATATAAACTCTAGCTCTTTCGGTTTTTTTAAAAGAAGATTTTTAAAGGTTTTTACTATATAAATATAAAAAAAATCAATGATCCCCATGGCGGGGCCAATATTAACCCCAGAGCCCTTTTTTTAACAAAAATGATAGACACCCATCAGAAGAAGTTTCATACTAAATATCTTAGCTCTAGCTCTTACGTTTTTTTTTAAAAAGAGATTTTTAAAGTTTATACTATATACATAAAGGGAAAAACAATGACCCCCTTGGGTGGGGCCAATTTTGACCCCCAGGGCTTTTATTTGAACAAACTTGGTAGACACCCACTGGAAGATATTTCATGCTTAATATCTTGGCTCAGTTATTTGGGTTTTTTTTAAAGAAGATTTTTTAAGTTCTGACTTTATACAAATAAGGAAAAGTCAATGACCCCCCCCCCCCCGGGCGGAGCCAATTTTGACACAATGGCATTTATTTGAACACACTTGGTAGACACTGACTAGATGATGTTTCATGCCAAATATTTAAGCTTTAGCTCTTTCGGTTTTCTTATAGAAGATATTTTAATTTTTTTCTTTCGGTTGCCATGAGTTAGGGTTAGGTTTTGCTTGGAATTAAATTCTTTGAACAATTTTTAAGATTGACTACCAAATGAACATTCCTGTGAAGTTTGGATGAAATTGGCTCAGCGGTTTAAGAGTTTACGGACGGACAGTCAATAACAAAAGCTCACAATGTCACAGCTGAGCTAAAACGAATCATAACCAGTGTTGCATTTACTGTTAATATACATGTATAAGATAATGGAAAATCACAAAAGTACCAGGCCATGGTGTTGTATTTACCTTTCAAACACTGGTAGCATTTAATTTTTACCAATTTGATATATGGAACATCACAACCATATTCATGACACAGGAATGCATTAACTGGAACAGATTTTGACATTTACGAACATATTTATATTGTTTCAAACAATTTAACAAATTAAGAAGAAGAGAACTGATAAACTCTTATTATTGACTATATCTGGAACTTGTATACTGACAATTATGAAGAAATGACAACAACAATTATTCTGTATAGTTTTATTTTGACTAAATTAAATGATTTACATTTTAGACAATCATACAACATAATAGACACAGATCAACATAAAATATGATGTAACCTTATAATATACCAAAACTGAAGAAAAAAATATTTGACAAGTTGCTCTCATTTATGAGCAGCCAATTCTTTAATCTGATTTGGAAGCTTATTCCTCAATTTTAACTCTGACAAGAACGGTCCAGTCTTAGACAGCAAGTCTATGACATTTTAATGGTCAATTCATATAGTAATGTTTTAACACAGTTTAAATAGCAATTTTTTTTTAAAAATATTTGTAATACCATAAATGGATATAATCATTTAGTTATATTAGTGTGTCTGTAATTGGCAGACCCATTGTCTGTAAGAAACCACGGTATATATATCAATGTGACAGAAAGTGTATAGTATAGGCTTGATTATAGACAAACACTTTCTGTTAAATCTGTTAACAGAAAACATCAATTATGAAAATATGAGAATGACCTGATTGTACTTATTGTAAATCTCGTAAATCTTGTTATAGCTTTACAAGCTTTAATACAGGGTACCTATTGTTACATCGAAACATTTAGCTATATAATAAAATACATGTTTTATCATCCAGCTACCAACCTGCAAAAAAAAAAATCCCGCAACCCAAAGTTTTATTGCCAAAAAAATTTACTTTTTGCGTTGTTTTTTTGTTGTATAAAAATCATGGCAAGTAGAAACAACTAATAAGAATAACATCTTTGAACTTAAACTTTAAAACATGATTAAGCATGCATGTATTAATTCTTTTTGTAATTCAATGTCATAAATATGTTAAATAAAAATAATATCTTAAATTAAAACACATCATACACAACATTTGTATCTATCTACCTTCCTTACCCTAACTGGCTTGGAGCACTGGGGTAGAAACAAAATGTTTTCATGCTGATCGTATGGCAGAACTAACTAATGACCATGTTACATGAAAGTAGAATATCTAAATTTTAACTGCTTACTCCTCTATCATAAAATAACAACCCTAAATTATTTTATCATTTAGTAGATAGATAAAAGTTTATTATGCATCAATCTTAGCACTGAAATAAAATTGTATATTATCAATAGATCAAAACACCAGAAATCACCTAAAAACAAAAAGCTGTACTAATTCTATACTATCAAAAATAAAATGCAGGAATAATTCTGTATGCACCTTGTTTTTTTTACCTAAGTCTATGTTTGTATATATTGGATGAATAGTATATAACAAGATATACATGTACAATTTTTAGTACATTTAACATTTACACATACCATTTAAACTAAAATATAGTTATCATTTTATAGACTTTTACAGAATAAATTATTAAATTAACTTTAACACATGACAAATTTGAATGTATAAAAGTATAAACTAATCTGTACCTTACTAAAATCATACATGATAACTTTTGTCAGTCAATATATAGGCAGGGGTCATACTGGAGATCAGTGAACCAGACTGTATACTAGTGACAGCTCAGTGTAATGTTTTAATGTCTCGTTGATATAGACCAGTGAAAGCTAAACAAATGTATTACACAGATTCAGCAAGTTAAAGGTCACCATTTATGGTTAATGAATGGGTAATGTATCTTGACTTTATCTTTAAATATAATCAACACTTGTTCTCTTTATTGTAATTAATTCTGTTAAATTTGTTTAAATCAAAAATTAATCAACGTAAAATATGACTGTATCCTCAACACCTTAATGTAAACTAAAAAGAAATCAATAAATGAGTATTTGTTCTGTAATTAAATTAACAATAACATGACATGTGCTTATACACCTTGTACAAAAAAACTATACAGAATTTTTCTTTAAAATATCTTGACAACATTGTTAAATGAAGTGAATATTTATTCATGACACTTGCATTGATGTACTTCATGTAAATTAATAAATCTACTCAAGAAATTTAGCTCTCTTCAAATAATCACCAAATCTGATCATGTGACAAAATTAAAGTCAGTCATTGGTGGAGAAAAAACTAGTTTATATAAATCACAACACATAGTTTTTACTGTCTATTAAAAGTTTACATAAAAATATTTTAAGTAGAAGTTCTGTGGTTTGGCTTGGGTTTAAAGTCATGCTGACATTATTTCAGGTCAAATGGCGACTTTCTCAACTTGTGGAGAAAGACTTCATTATTGCCCTTTTCTACCTCTTTCAGACCACAATTCTAGAAGAACCATCATCATTCTGTTAAAAAAGCTTGCTAGAAAGCTTCCTCACAAAACCAACCCAGAGTTTATGATGAATATTGGTGACTATAGGATGTATCCTGGTTAGTTTACTATGATATGGCAGGTGAATGTTTATATAGTTTTTATTCTACAGCATGAAGAACATCACTATTGATCATTTATTTAGTTCAAAGCACCAAGCACAAAGGAAGAGAGATACATGTGAACCCTTTCTTCCCCCACCCCCATCTCATTCACAATGTCAGGACAAAATCAAGCAGTTCAAAAATTTCAAGCACCCAAAAAGCATAAAGTATTTTAACAGTTCTATAAAATTGAACTTTTTTTGTAAAAAACATAAATTTTAAAATGCACAATCTTTTTTCCCCAAACAATACCTGACTCTATATTTTACTTGTAGCAAAAATGTAGATTTTTTTCTGAAACAAAAATAGTTATACAATTTTTTTTTTTTATGTTTATTGTAAACTTGCCAGGATAAGTAGGCAATGGAAAAAGATCACAAAAATATTAGTGACAAATGTTAAACATGAAGATCCAAAATTTCATTTCATTATGTTTGAATTTAAGATTTGAAATATAAAAAAAATACACCATAATCACAAAACCTGACTGATATCATCAACTCAGCAAAAACTTTTTAAATTTAAAACTGGGATTCATTTTTTTAATAAAATTTGAAAAAATAAAAAAATTAAGATTTTTTTTATCCAACAAACAGCATAGAAATTGTAAACAAAAAGGGGGAAAAAATAACAATATTCATACAGTCTTAGAATATACAAGTTTCTGTCTTGGTATTATGATTAGACAGTCTATAGTGAGGGCACAAAAAAATGGTATTAACCCAAAACATGTATTATTAACAGAAAAAAATCACTATACGTCTGTATACAATATACTTGATATATAGCACAATAATTAACTCCCTTTTCCAAAATCATTACTTCAATATAATAATAAAATATTAGGTTATACAAGTATTATTATCAAATTAAAAAAATGAAATAAATAACATAAGAACAATGCTGTTCTTTCACAAAGTTATTATAACCTTCTTACCATTATTAAACATTTTTTTCTGAAAAATAACAACAAAATAACAGTATTTAGATTTATTGTTGTATGTTTTAAGCCAATTTTAAAACATTTTTGGTTATATCATGGAAGTTTTTTCACCTAACCAGCTTTCCTGGGTAACTTACCAGTATCTATTTAAAAAAAATTACTACTGACTATTCGAAAAAGAATTGTTCATAAATTGGCTGCAGAAAATTAAAGAGCTCAATAATGGCCTTATACTAACAGGCATGTTATCTGCATGTATATACAATATATACATGTATATTATAAATGATGTAGCACTTGTAAATGAAAAACACATCAATTTTTCACAAGCAAGGTTAAAAATTATTGAAGAAAAATAATGAAATATCTAGATCAAGTTTTAATTGATTGATAATCACTTTAAATGCTGTTTTCTAACAAAAATATAGAAAACATTTCTTTTTGTTATGCTAAACTTATAATAGGTAGAATACTAAGAAAAATACTGAATTTTGTAATTTTTAAGTAATATTTTCTTGGCCTTCATAGCTTAAGTATGAAGAAAAAAATGAAGTAATTTGTACAGGTAATGTGTTAAAGCCAGGCTGACATAATCAACATCTAGATATAACATGGGGGGAAGTTACATAAAGCAATAGTGAACATTCAGTATTCACAACATGAACATTTAATGAACATTTTAACACATTATTACAAACAATGTTAACTCTTGTCTCCCAGCATGCTGGCATCAGAATTTAGCTTTAATTAGGTAAGAAAAGAGTGTGGCAGCTTTATTGTATGTGTCATCTATGACAATAAATATATTGTTAAAATGTTGTATCTATATATACATGTTTAAATTATAGAAAATAAAATTATATTCCTAGACTCGTATACTTTATAAAGACTTGAACATGCTATATTAAGTTTGAACAGTAATTCAAATACTCCTACATTATATAATCTACATACTGATGTTATGTACTATCTAGTATCTTTGTGCTGGCTGTATTTCTATCTTTCATTATATTAACAAACATATTTGTCAGTGTATGAACAGACAGTAAAGACTTCAACAAAAATTGTAGCATTCAATGATATTAACATTCAGTCAGTTAGTAGGTATACACTTTATATGCAGGGCTTAATTCATATGTTATGTAAACATGTGTCAAGGAAAATATCTTCCTTTCTCCATCAAGCAGGTGTTGGTGGCATGCACCTTCAAATATAAATCAAAAATCATTATCTAAAGTCTAATGTTTGCCAATAATCCCTGGTTTATTTCAACTTGTCATAAAGTCATGTTCATTAAGATGTTTTAACATTTTTCTAACTATATAATTAACATACTGTTTTTCTTCTTTCTCTAAAAGTTCATAAAATGTGCATGTTGTAAAACTGAAAACATATCAAATGAAGTCCTAGTTGTGGTCACCTGGGAAACAATTGATACAGCAACTTTTATGTGTAAATATATCGTCATAAACCAGTGAAAACTTTCAAACTTGTATTGTATGATACACAATGGTAACAAATTAATCAATTAGCAAAACTTGCTGCAAGCTTATCAAGGGACGATCAAAATTTTCCAGCTTGTTAGTTTTTTGTTTTTGTTGTTTTAATAAAAACAGTGAATATTTTCAAAATAACAGAAAAGGTATTATAGTCTATTCACCTAAGTAATATATATCCCTTATAAACACTGAAATATGTTCACAAATATCGATAACAAAACTATTTCTTTATAAACTTGAATTCCCATTATTAGAATTACTTATTTTATACTTGTTTTTAAAATATGTTAACAGTCATTTTCATAAGAATAAGTAAGCAACATAATATTTAACATTTAAACTTTAAAAGTATACTGCTGAATTGGAACTAAGTTTGACCACAATTCTGTTTCCAATTGAAACAGTAGAAGTGAAATCCTGTATCTGCCAGTACACAGTTGTTATCCTATGTGACACACCTAGGCCTAGGAAAGTTTGTTTTAAAAACTAGAAGTGACATTTATATATAAAATATTAATTAGCAGCATTTCCTTGTTGCAGGATCTTGATTTCTGTGAACATCTATATGTCACTTTGTCATTTTTGGAACATCACAACCATTTTCAGGACACAGGAATGCATTAACTGGAACAGATTTTGACATTTACGAACATATTTATATTGTTTCCAACAACTTAACAAATTAAGAAGAAGAGAACTGATAAGCTCTTATTATTGACTATATCTGGAACTTGTATACTGACAATTATGAAGAAATGACAACAACAATTATTCTGTATAGTTTTATTTTGACTAAATTAAATGATTTACATTTTAGACAATCATACAACATAATAGACACAGATCAACATAAAATATGATGTAACCTTATAATATACCAAAACTGAAGTTAAAATATTTAACATTTTCATAATTTGTTCTCATTTATTAACAACCAATTCTTTAATCTGATTTGAAAGCTTATTCCTCAATTTTAACTCTGACAAGAACGGTCCAGTCTTATACAGAAAGTCTATGACATTTTAATGGTCAATTCATATAGTAATTGTTTTAACACAGTTTAAATAGCAATTTTGTTATATATAATTGTAATACCATAAATGGATATACATGTACATTGTATTAGTGTGTCTGTAATTGGCAGACCCATTGTAAGAAACCACGGTATATATCAATGTGACAGAAAGTGTATAGTATAGGGAAGATTTATAGACAAACACTTTCTGTTAAATCTGTTTACAAAAACATCAATTATGAAAATATGAGAATGACCTGATTGTACTTATTGTAAATCTCGTAAATCTTGTTATAGCTTTACAAGCTTTTATATAGAGTACCTATTGTTACATCGAAACATTTAGCTATATAATAAAATACATGTTTTATCTTCCAGCTACCAACCTGCAAAAAAAAAATCCCGCAACCCAAAGTTTTATTGCCAAAAAAAATTACATTTTTGCGTTTTTTTTTGTTGTATAAAAATCATGGCAAGTAGAAACAACTAATAAGAATAACATCTTTGAACTTAAACTTTAAAACATGATTAAGCATGCACGTATTAATTCTTTTTGTAATTCAATGTCATAAATATGTTAAATAAAAATAATATCTTAAATTAAAACACATCATACACAACATTTTTATCTATCTACCTTCCTTACCCTAACTGGCTTGGAGCACTGGGGTAGAAACAAAATGTTTTCATGCTGATCGTATGGCAGAACTAACTAATGACCATGTTACATGAAAGTACAATATCTAAATTTTAACTGCTTACTCCTCTGTCATAAAATTACAACCCTAAATTATTTTATCATTTAGTAGATAGATAAATGTTTATTATGCATCAATCTTAGCACTGAAATAACATTGTATATTATCAATAGATCAAAACACCAGAAATCACCTAAAAACAAAAAGCTGTACTAATTCTATACTATCAAAAATAAAATGCAGGAATAATTCTGTATGCACCTTGTTTTTTTTACCTAAGTCTATGTTTGTATATATTGGATGAATAGTATATAACAAGATATACATGTACAATTTTTAGTACATTTAACATTTACACATACCATTAAAACTAAAATATAGTTATCATTTTATAGACTTTTACAGAATAAATCATTAAATTAACTTTAACATGTGACAAATTTGAATGTACATGTATAAAAGAATAAACTAATCTGTACCTTACTAAAATCATACATGATAACTTTTGTCAGTCAATATATAGGCAGGGGTCATACTGGAGATCAGTGAACCAGACTGTATACTAGTGACAGCTCAGTGTAATGTTTTAATGTCTCGTTGCTATAGACCAGTGAAATGATGCAATCTCTCTTTGCTTAGACCAGAGAAGCTAGACTAATCTATTACACAGATTCAGCAAGTTAAAGGTTACCATTTATAGTTAATGAATGGGTAATGTATCTTGACTTTATCTTTAAATATAATCAACACTTGTTCTCTTTATTGTAATTAATTCTGTTAAATTTGTTTAAATCATAATTTAATCAAAGTAAAATATGACTGTATCCTCAACAACTTAATGTAAACCAAAAAGAAATCAATAAATGAGTATTTGTTCTGTAATTAAATTAATAATAACATGACATGTGCTTAAACAACTTGTACAAAAAACTATACAGAATTTTTCTTTAAAATATTTTGACAACATTGTTAAATGAAGTGAATATTTATTCATGACACTTGCATTGATGTACTTCATGTAAATTAATAAATCTACTCAAGAAATTTAGCTCTCCTCAAATAATCACCAAATCTGATCATGTGACAAAATTAAAGTCAGGCATTGGTGGAGAAAAAACTAGTTTATGTAAATCACAACACATAGTTTTACTGTCTATTAAAAGTTTACATAAAAAATATTTTAAGTAGAAGTCTGTGGTTGGCTTGGTTTAAAGTCATGCTGACATTATTTCAGGTCATATGGCGACTTCTCAACTTGTGGAGAAAGACTTCATATATGCCCTTTTCTACATCTTTCAGACACAATTCTAGTAGAACCATCATCATTCTGTTAAAAGCTTGCTAGAAAGCTTCCTCACAAGAACCAACAGAGTTTATGATGATATTGGTGACTATAGGTATGTATCACTCATTAGTTACTATGATATTGAGGTGAATGTTTATATAGTTTATTATTCTACATGAAGAACATCACTATTGATCATTTATTTAGTTCAAAGCACCAAGCACAAAGGAAGAGAGATACATGTGAACCCTTTCTTCCCCCACCCACCATCTCATTCACAATGTCAGGACAAAATCAAGCAGTTCAAAAATTTACAAGCACACAAGCATAAAGTATCTTTAACAGTTCTCATAAAATCTGATACTGTTTTTGTAATAAAACATGAATTTAAAGTGCACAATCTTTATTCCAACAATCACCTGACTACTACTATCTTACTTGTAGCAAAACATGTATACTTTTTTCTGAAACGAAATAGTGTATACAATTTTGTTTTTTTTATGTTTATTGTGAAACTATAGCCTAGGATACAAGTAGGCATATGGAACAAAGATCACACAAATCATTAGTGTACAATACTGTAAACATGAAGATCCAAATATCATTTCATTATGCTTGAAGTTTGAAGTATTTGAAATATAAGAAATAAATACACCATAATCACAAATCCTGACTGATACCATCAACTCAGCAGTACTTATATAACTTAACTCGGATTCAATTTTCATGAAAATTTGAAATAATAAGAATTCAAGTATCTTTCTTATCCATACAAACAGCATAGAAATTGTAAACAAAAAGGGGGAAAAAATAACAATATTCATACAGTCTTAGAATATATAAGTTTCTGTCTTGGTATTATGATTAGACAGTCTATAGTGAGGGCACAAAAAATGGTATTAACCCAAAACATGTATTATTAACAGAAAAAAATCACTATACGTCTGTATACAATATACTTGATATATAGCACAATAATTAACTCCCTTTTCCAAAATCATTACTTCAATATAATAATAAAATATTAGGTTATACATGTATTATTATCAAATTAAAAAAATGAAATAAATAACATAAGAACAATGCTGTTCTTTCACAAAGTTATTATAACCTTCTTACCATTATTAAACATTTTCTTCTGAAAAAATAACAACAAAATAACTATATTTAGATTTATTGTTGTTTGAATTTTGTTTCAAGCTAATTTAAAAAAAAATTTTTATATCATGGAAGTTTTTACACCTAACCAGCTTTCCTGGGTAACTTAACAGTAACTATCTAAAATTACTACTGACTATTCGAAAAAGAATTGTTCATAAATTGGCTGCAGAAAATTAAAGAGCTCAATAATGGCCTTATACTAACAGGCATGTTATCTGCATGTATATACAATATATACATGTATATTATAAATGATGTAGCACTTGTAAATGAAAAACGCATCAATTTTTCACAAGCAAGGTTAAAAATTATTGAAGAAAAATAGTGAAAATATCTAGATCAAGTTTTAATTGATTTTGATAATCACTTTAAATGCTGTTTTCTAAACAAAAATATAGAAAACATTTCTTTTTGTTACGCTAAAATTAAAATAGGTAGAATACTAAGAAAAATACTGAATTTTGTAATTTTTAAGTAAATATTTTCTTGGCCTTCATAGCTTAAGTATGAAGAAAAAAATGAAGTAATTTTGTACAGGTAATGTTTAAAGCCAGGCTGACAGAATCAACATCTAGATATAACATGGGGGGAAGTTACATAAGCAATATGAACATTCAGTATTCACAACATGAACATTTAATGAACATTTTAACACATTAATACATGCAATGTTAACTCTTGTCTCCCAGCATGCTGGCATCAGAATTTAGCTTTAATAAGGTAAGAAAAGAGTGTGACAGCTTTATTGTATGTGTCAACTATGACAATAAATATATTGATAAAATGTTGTATCTATATATACATGTTTAAATTATAGAAAATAAAATTATATTCCTAGACTTGTATATTTTATAAAGACTTGAACATGTTATATTAAGTTTGAACAGTACTTCAAATACTCCTACATTATATAATCTACATACTGATGTTATGTACTATCTAGTATCTTTGTGCTGGCTGTATTTTTATCTTTCATTATATTAACAAACATATTTGTCAGTGTATGAACAGACAGTACAGACTTCAACATTCAATGATATTAACATTCAGTCAGTTAGTAGGTATACACTTTATATGCTATGTAAACATGTGTCAAGGAAAATATCTTCCTTTCTCCATCAAGCAGGTGTTGGTGGCATGCACCTTCAAATATCATTATCTAAAGTCTTATGTTTGCCAATAATCCCTGGTTTATTTCAACTTGTCATAAAGTCATGTTCAATAAGATGTTTTAACATTTTTCTGAACTATTCTAATTAACATCCTACTTTCTCTAAAAGTTCATAAAATGTGCATGTTGTAAAACTGAAAACATATCAAATGAAGTCCTAGTTGTGGTCACCTGGGAAACAATTGATACAGCAACTTTTATGTATAAATATATCCTCATAAACCAGTGAAAACTTTCAAACTTGTATTGTATGATACACAATGGTAAGAAATTAATCAATTAGCAAAACTTGCAGCAAGCTTATCAAGGGATGATCAAAATTTTCCAGCTTGTTAGTTTTTTGTTTTTGTTGTTTTAATAAAAACAGTGAATATTTTCAAAATAACAGAAAAGGTATTATAGTCTATTCACCTAAGTAACTTATATATAGATATATATATCCCTTATAAACACTGAAATATGTTCACAATTATCGATAACAAAACTATTTCTTTATAAACTTGAATTCCCATTATTAGAATTACTTATTTTATACTTGTTTTTAAAATATGTTAACAGTCATTTTCATAAGAATAAGTAAGCAACATAATATTTAACATTTAAACTTTAAAAGTATACTGCTGAATTGGAACTAAGTTTGACCACAATTCTGTTTCGGCAATTGAAACAGTAGAAGTGAAATCCTGTTCTGCCAGTAAAGTTGTTATCCTATGTGAACCTAGGCCCTAGGAAAGTTTGTTTTAAAAAAACTAGAAGTGACATTTACATATAAATAAATTTAATTAGGCAGCATTTCCTTGTTGCAAGGATCTTGATTTCTGTGAACATCTATACCACTGTTTTGTTGTGCATCTCTACCTGGAGTCTACAATGAAAAAATGATAAACATTATATTTTTATAACATTATATTATAAAACTTAAACAGTAATAACTTGGTGAAGTCAGTAATTAGTTCCTACATACCAGACTGATAACTGTTTAACAATACCAAATTGATTACTGTTACTGTTTAAAACATCAGACTAATTATTGTTTGAATAACATCAGACTGATTACTGTTTGAATAACACCGGACTGATAACTGTTAGAAACATACCAGACTGATAACTGTTAGAATCATACCAGACTGATTACTGTTTGATATATGCAAGACTGATTACTGTTAGAATCATACCACACTGATAACTGTTTGATATTTATCAGACTGATTACTGTTTGAATAATACCAGATTGATTACTGTTTGAATAATACCAGACTGATAACTGTTTGATATTTACCAGACTGATTACTGTTTGAATAATACCAGACTGATTACTGTTTGAATAATACCAGACTGGTTACTGTTTGAATAATACCAGACTGATTACTGTTTGAATAATACCAGACTGATTACTGTTTGAATAATACCAGACTGATTACTGTTTGACTAATACCAGACTGATTACTGTTTGAATAATACCAGACTGATTACTGTTTGAATCATACCAGACTGATTACTGTTTGAATAATACCAGACTGATTACTGTTTGAATCATACCAGACTGATTACTGTTTGAATCATACCAGACTGATAACTGTTTGAAACATACCAGACTGATAACTGTTTGAAATATATCAGACTGGTTACTGTTTATAATAGGCATAGAATTATTAGCAATATTATACCTTATTCAATATGGCTTGTGCTAAATCCATAAAAGCTTTTTCTACATTTATATTTGCTTTTGCACTGGTTTCTAAAAATGGAATTCCATGTTCCTTTGCAATCTGAAATAATATATGACAAATATGAATAAAATATATGGTAAAATAATTTAACCCTTAACATGCTGAATGTCTGTACTTTCTTTGCCTTGCTTTGAAATGTTCCATTGAATTTTAAAATATCTGTTAAACAAGATATCACAAATTGAGCTGTCAACATTATCTGAGTAGACAGATGGTTTACTGGTGGCGCCAACATTACCTGAGCAGACAGATGGTTTACTGGTGGCGCCAACATTATCTGAGCAGACAGATGGTTTACTGGTGGTGCCAACATTATCTGAGCAGACAGATGGTTTACTGGTGGCGCCAACATTATCTGAGCAGACAGATGGTTTACTGGTGGCACCAACATTATCTGAGCAGACAGATAGATGGTTTACTGGTGGCACCAACATTATTGGTTTACTGGTGGCGCCAACATTATTGGTTTACTGGTGGCGCCAACATTATTGGTTTACTGGTGGCGCCAACATTATCTGAGCAGACAGATGGTTTACTGGTGGCGCCAACATTATCTGAGCAGACAGATGGTTTACTGGTGGCCCAACATTATCTGAGCAGACAGATAGATGGTTTACTGGTGGCACCAACATTATTGGTTTACTGGTGGCGCCAACATTATTGGTTTACTGGTGGCGCCAACATTATTGGTTTACTGGTGGTGCCAACATTATTGGTTTACTGATGCACCAACATTATCTGAGCAAGCAGATGGTTTACTGGTGGCGCCAACATTATCTGAGCAGACAGATGGTTTACTGGTGGCGCCAACATTATCTGAGCAGACAGATTGTTTACTGTTGGCTAAGGTTAATGCAGGTTATCTGTTTGAGCAGGTTAAGGCTTTGCACATACAATTTAAGGTCAAAATATCATAACTAGAACTATCGCTGAATGCGATTCATACCCCACCAATGTCCTTGACAGAAGACGACTTGGAAAGGTGGTTAAGGGAATAACTTTAGTGGCACAAATACATGTACATAAAAAGAAATTATCTCTGGTGAAAAAAATTAATTGACTAATTGTACAGGTAATAGTGTAAATATATATTGTGAAATCATGTTCGAAACAGTTACAAATAACCTTTCATTTTCCCAATATACTAAACATTTTCTAAGTCAATTTTTGACCTTCACGTGTGGCCTTGACCTTAAGCTGGCACAAGGGTATGATGGGTTCTGCACATTGCCCAGTTGGGGTGAACATTTGAGTAAAGTTTGAAGAAAATCCTTCCATTAGTATAGAATTTATAGAGGACACAACATATTGTCTAGTATTGATTGTATGTAAATTTAAAGACTTAAAAAGGGGCATAACTTTGTCAAAATGCAATACAGAGTTATGAAACTTGACCTGCATATCTTATTTGTGACACCTCATAAATCTTTTAAGTTTCAAAGAAAAACACCTGTGCTAGTTTCAGAAATATTCAAATACATGTTAAAATTTAAGAATATTTTTTAAGTCAATTTTTGACCTTCAAGTGTGACCTTGACCTTTAGCCAGCAAAAGGGTGACATGGGTTCTGCACATTACCTTGTTGAGGTGAACATTTGAGCCAAGATTGAAGAAAATTTTTCAATTAGTGTAGGACTTACAGAGTGGACACGACATACTGTCTAAAATTTGATTGTTTGATATTTGACCTTCAATTATGATCTTGACCTTGACCTGACACATGGGCAACATGGGTTCTGCACATCCCCTTGTCAAGGTGAACATTTGAGCCAAGTTTGAAGTAAATCTTTTAATTAGTGTATGACTTACAGAGCGGACACGACATACTGTCTAATATTTGTTTGATATTTGACCTTCAATTGTGACCTTGACCTTGAGCTGACACATGGGTAACATGGGTTCTGCACATCCCCTTGTTGAGGTGAACATATGAGCCAAGATTGAAGAAAATCCTTCAATTGGTATAGGATTTATAGAGCGGACACGAAAATGGAGACAGAGGGACCGACCGACGGACACGACAAAGCGAATCCATTATTGCCCCACCCCCCCACTTTTTGTGGTGGGGGTATAATTAGTGAAATAGTTGCAACATTCCACTCATGATACACCAATAACCTTACATACTACAAGTACACCCATCTTTAAACTGTCTTAGTGTGCAACAAAAACTACTAGATGTTATATTACATACTTTCATTCATTTAAGTAAATAAAATGTAAAAATTATCCATTAGTAAACTACTTGATAACTGTAATTACACAATGACTTTAATTTCATTTCTTTTTTTGTGTTTAATAAATGCAATATTCATACAAATGATGTACTAATATTCTTTCTTAAAATAATCATTGAAATTAATATGACACTTATATTTAACTTCCTACTTGTTTAAAAAGGAAACAAATTTGAATACGGTAAAACAATTAACTTGTCAGTAAGAAAATCCTGTATGCCTCATTATAAGTAATAGGTACATGTAGTTATTATAAATGAGCAGGATTTAGAATAGTTAAAATTTAAATTCAAGAGCAAGACAACAAAAGCATTTTTTCCTGTGATAAACAACTTAACTATACAGTAGATCACAATATAGAAATATTTCCAATATAGCAAACTATGGAAGTTGTATACTAAACGATGCTGCTGCTTAATTAACAACAATTATTATTGTATTAATGTACAGAATGATTCATATTGGACCTTTTCCCTTAAAACAGTTGTCCTTAATTGTCCCCAAAAATTCAGAACATTTGTCCTTAAGCACACAAAAAACTTGGGACAATTTTTTTTATCAATAATTTTTTTTTCAGGTAGGCTGTGGTTCAGACAATAAAAGATAAACAAAATTAACACACATTTAAATAATGTGTGCACGCAATTATATCAATAATCAGTGAAAATTTAATAAATTTGACGTTGAGGGTCAATGTCATACATAAGTCAAGGTCATTTGAGTTTGATATACATGAAGGTCCTACCCTATAATACTTTATGTCAAAATATGAAGTTAATCCATTTATAAATAACAGAGTTATAGCCAGTTAAAGACAAAAAAGGAGAATTTCTATAATTTGACCTTGACAGTCAAGGTCAATTAATGGTCACAGTAACATCTAAATTATTCCATATGCTTGTTTGGTATCAAGTCTTGTTTTGTCCCTGTATGAATCAAATCTGTACATCTGCAAAATTATGACAATGTAACCAAAATTCTACAATTTGACCTTAAAAGTCAAGGTCATTTAAAGCTCAAGGTCAAGAATAGTTTCTTTTAAAAAGTCTTGTAAGAAAGGTTGTCTTCAAAGCCAGTTACAGCAAAAAGAGAGAAAACTAGAAATGTGTCATCATGCCACGGATGCCCCCGCATGCAGCCAAAATTTCAGATGGTGCTTTAATTATTTTTTTCATTTTAAGTTCAAAGCCCTTAAAACTTTTCAATGTTAACACAAACTATTTCCATACAATGTTCAAAGCACTGAAATTATTCAGTCTTAACCTTTTAGAAATAGCATATTGCATATTTGTAGCCAAAATAATGGCTAAAAGAATGAGTGGTGAAACTGAAAGTTCAAAATTTTTCCAACATTCAGGAAAGATAAGTTTGTCTAAAATCATTGAACCATGACCAAATTCCAACTTAAACTGCTTATTCCTAAGATGTATCTATATTATTTTCAAAGTGAAAGAGACATAACTCTGCCAAAAAATCATCAAACCATGACCAAATTCGAACTTGACCTGCCCATTCCTTTGACATATCCATATGTCAAATTAAAGTTGAATATGTGACACTGTTGGGTAGATAATGAACAGAAACTGTCAATTTCATATTATTTTCAAAGTAAAAGGGGCATTACTCTACCAAAAATCATTGAACCATGACCAAATTTGAACTTGACCTGGGCATTCCAAAAACATATCCATATGTCAAATTTGAGTTGAATGTGTTGTACCATTGGGGAGATAATAAACGGAAACTGAAAATTTCATATTACTTTCAAAGTGAAAGGGGCATAACTCTGCCAAAAATCATTGAACCATGACCAAATTTGAACTTGACCTGCGCATTCTTTTGACGCATCCATATGTCACGTTTGAGTTGAATGTGTTGTACCTTGAGGGAGATAATGATCGGAAACTGAAAATTTCATATTATTTTCAAAGTAAAAGGGGCATAACTCTCCCAAAAATCATCGAACCATGACCAAATTCGAACTTGACCTGTATTTTTTCATGACATATCAATATGTCAAGTTTGAGTTGATTGTGTTGTACCGTTGGGGAGATAATGAACGGAAACTGAAAATTTCATATTATTTTCAAAGTAAAAGGGGCATAACTCTGCCAAAAATTATCGAACCATAACCAAATTCGAACTTGACCTGTATTTTCTCATGACATATCCATATGTCAAGTTTGAATTGAATGTGTCCAACCGTTCTTAAGATAATGAACGGAAACTGAAATTTCATATTATTTTCAAAGTAAAAGGGGCATAACTCTGCCAAAAATCATCGAACCATGACCAAATTCGAACTTGACCTGTATTTTCTCATGACATATCCATATGTCAAGTTTGAATTGAATGTGTCCAACCGTTCTTAAGATAATGAACGGAAACTGAAATTTCATATTATTTTCAAAGTAAAAGGGGCATAACTCTACCAAAAATCATCGAACCATGACCAAATTCGAACTTGACCTGTATTTTCTCATGACATATCCATATGTCAAATTTGAGTTGAATATGTCTAACCGTTCTTAAGATAATGAACGGAAACTGATGATGACGGAATGACAGAATGACGGAAGGACGGAAGGATGGAAGGACGGAAGGATGGAAGGACGGAATGACGGAACAGGGTAACACTATATGCCCCGGCCATTACATGGCGGGGGCATAAAAATGGAGTTAGAAAGGGATGGGTATCAAATAACTTATTCAAAAGTCAAGCAAACATTGCTTGGGATTTAACATTTCTGGTGATGACAAGTTACAAGCAATGTGGCTTTAATCAATGGAGATTAAATTATTCAACAAAATATTGACTTTTTACTATGAAATTTTGTTGGTCATATTGTCCGAGAAACAGTCCTATAGACATACTGAGTTTAAATTTTCAGGAAATCTGTCACTTTTATCTGCCCTGGGCAAAAGGACCAACCCAATTTGAATCCCAGATACACTTAGCTCAATTATAATAAATACAACTTCTGACTAAGCGACAACTGTGTGAAAGTCTTGCTTCTTTGGCACTGTGATCTATTTGACTTTGCACAACACAGAGTGTGTGTGTTAAAATCCTTAAAAGGGGAATTTTTTACTTTCTGGTTAAGATATTAAATTGTTTGTTAGGTATAGTATACATACTGCATCTCCCCTATCCTTGGACACCTGTCTCTTGTCTTCCATATCACATTTGTTCCCTAGTATCATCTTCTCTACATCTTCATTGGCATGCTGTATAATTAACATCATACATTATTACATCTAGTCTTACATAAATGATACATACTTAATTACTTTAAATAGAACCTCTGACATTTAAGTTCATGAATAAATTCAGTGGTTTTGATTGTTGTGTTTATTTGTTTATAATGTATGTTGATGTTCACACGTTTGTTTCTCATATGGAGTGTGATTTTTTCATATGCTGTTATGTAAAAAATTTGGCCCTTCTGCTTCCCTCATGTGACTAAGACTAAAACAAATTGAAAGGATTATTTATGCTGACTATAATATACCTACATTAACAACCTTACAACCAGTAACTTTATTCACAGAGATTTTTATTGTATTTATATTAGAGCATTCTTAATAGCATCAAATTACCATTTTGTTGAACTAAATAATCTAAATTATTATCTGATATACAGTCATAGTTGATACATGTAGGTTAAGTTAAATCATTATACAATAATTATCATTGTATCATAGTTTGGGGACCTTTCTGTTGAAAATGTATCAGAGTTAAATCGTATACATATACATGCACAGTGTGTTAACTAGAATGCATGTATTAGTTACCCGCACTCCAGAGCATGCCCATTGATTGGCTCATTTTTGCTGGGGTTTACTTATTGTGACGGCAGAGAAAGGGAAAGCGACAGAAATATCATATTCAGATGCTCGTTCATTGGTTACTTTTTAATGGAGTTTCATATTGTGAAAACAGGGAACGTGTTTTTATGTTTGACTATAATACAAAAGAGAAAGAACATCAAAACACTCGGCAATCTGATTAATACTCAAGGGCTACGCCCCCTCGTACAAACCAGATAGCCTCATGTTTCGATGCTCTTTCTATTACAAGGCTAGCATCAAAGTCTTAATCACTTTGAAGTTGCAGGAGGGTAAGGATTATAACATATGACATATAAATTATATACCTCATCTATATTTCTCAACCACTTTGAAATGTTTTCGAAAGTTTTGGCATTTGTAATATCATACACCAACATAATTCCCATAGCTCCTCTGTAGTAGGAGGTGGTGATCGTATGGAATCTTTCTTGTCCCGCGGTATCCCTGGCAACAGAATAACATAGAAAATATAGAGAAAAAAAAACATGTACAAATAAAACATTCATGAAAATGTTTTGTAACAGTTTGTTTTCTTGCAAGGTGAACACATCAAATAAAGTCCAATAATTCCATTACTGTTGTCACCAGTTGATTTAATTAAAATAACAAAGATCAGTTCAATATAATTGTTTCACTACAACTTTTATCAACAAATGTCTATGAAAAAACAACAACAATATAAATATCAATATTATACAGAGAAGAACTGTTGATAAATGGAATATTCACATTAAACCTAAAACCCTTTTAATAAAGGACATAAAAAAACATACTTTGTACACAAGTGATGTTACTTTACCTCTATTCTGCTGTGTTAACATTTGTTTGGTAAAGGAACAGTATGACAGTGATATTTGTCAACATTCAAAATGTTCTCATTAAAACATTATAACATATCTTACTAATGCTAGAGTAGTTATATTCTGTTTACAATGAATATGGTATAAATTACCACAAGGAAGTAGATCTAGAAGCAGTTTGAAAGACAAACACACTTATATACTGTGCTATTTTCACAAAAGTAAATAACTAAATGCCGCATTATGTGTACTTTAGAACAATACAATTGTGAAATAAAACAAGCATGAAAAACATGACAATACATATACAAGTATAACATATCTGGCAACAATCAAAGGCCCATAACTCTGCCAAAATTGAATATCAAAAAATCATGACAACACATGTAAGCAAAAGGGCATTTAATGATTATCATTCCATAAAAGCTTAGTTGAAATCCCTTGATCACAGTATATAAATAACACCAGGTTTGTGAATAACAGTAAAAATATCACCCTGAGGAAAATACTGTTACTAGAGGCGTTAGCCGAGGGTAACAGTAATTTTACAAGGGACGATATTTTTTGTTGCTCAGACACCAATGGTTATTTATATTATTACCTGAACAAATACTTGGACACTCTCTCTATTATTTCAGCCCCACACTTTGACATTTTACATATGATATAATATGGTAATATTTAGAAAACAGGATTAATAAGATGTTATTTAAGAATAATAAAATACAAACCATATCTGCAACTTGATCTTCTTCCCACCAAGTTCCACAGTTTTTATCTTGAAGTCAATTCCTGCAATAAACAAACAAATTCTGTATATTATGTAATGTACATGTATTTTGAATTTCTGTTTAGTCAATTAAGATAACTTGTAAAATTGTTATAAAAGTTTATACAATATACAATGAATGTTAAATTCTTCTCTATCTTAAATATTATATAAAATTTGAAGTATTTTTTATCTCATTATGGATTATTTATATTTTGGTATAACAAATCATATTGTCTTCCCTATTATAAATTATATCAGCAATCATAGTGGCTATTATCACTACAAAAACTTCCAACAAGTAGACTACTCTGTTGTGTATCAAGTACTGTACTACCTTATTCAATGATATCACAAAGTACATGTATCCAAGCAGCTTCTAACTTAAATGATATTAACAAATAAACAGCAATGAACATTTCATTCCTGATCTAAATCAAAAGTAAACATGTCTATACATATTAATTAACACTTTTGATAAGCACTGTAGTATGTAAACAACTCAAACTCAAAAGATAATACAGGACAAGATGTGTCCATAACATAAATTGGCTGTGTCTTGTTTATAAAAGCCCATTGCATGATTTTTATCCAGACCATTTTTTGTCATCATTGCTGTAACATATTGCCAATATGTAACAACAGATAACGCTAGACATGGACACCTGCTTCAGTATATATTTGGGTGAATTTTCCTAATTTCTAGACATTTAATTAATAAGTCAAAATTATCAATTGTTTTTTAAAATGTGTACTGATTACTGATTGACAGTCAGAAAAAAATCAATGATACATCGATATTGTTTCTATCGACAGTACAACACAAGACTTCAAATCATCAGTGCCACTTTCAAGATGCCTTATCAAACTTTCACAAAAAAAAATTGTGTTTCATAATTCAATAACACAGTTAAACATACATCTGTAATGATTAAAATAAAAATTTTAGCTCATTTATCAGGTTTGACCGATATTTAAAAACACCAATTTTTTATCTGCTAGAGCTGTCATCGACAGAAACAATATCAATGTATTGTCAATATTTTAATTAAATTTATATGTTGATCAATAAAGGATACACATAAATTTGAAAAAATAGATAACTTTGACTAATTAAATGTCTAGAATTTATGAATAATCACCCAAAACATATACAGAAGCAGGTGGCCATATCTAAAATGGTGCTGTTGTTACCAAATGGACCTATTTTCATAGCAATGATGAGAAAAACAATCAAACATGCAAAAATTTTGGCGTCTATAAACAAGACACTTTTATGAATAGAATAATTATACTGAAATCATTTAACCCATTACTTCATATACACGCCTTTTAACGCCTTTTTCACCCCCCCCCTTTTTTGTTGTCTCAAATGATGAAAAAATGCCTTATTTAGGCCCCAAACACTTGCTTTTGTTTGAGAAATGTTGTTAAAAAAGTGACCTCTTTTTCGGCGCGGCACCCCAACCAAAAGATACATCAGGGGGTTGCCAGAAGGGGGATGTGCCCCCTTCTGTTTGGGGGGTTTGAAGGGGGGCGGAGTCCCCCTCATCGCCAAGAAAATTTTGGACTTGTGAGAGGCTGTAAATGACCCCAGATTGATCATAAGGTAACGTGTAACCAACGCTGAAAAGCATTTGACTCTATCTCAATCTATTGAGAAGTTGCAGCACTTTTGAAATCAATTTTGATGTAAAAAATCAACGCAAAATAGTGATTTTTGGCAATTTTGAGATGTCCCCTCGTTGCCATGGTAACAAAAAATTTAAGCCTGAGCATGTTTTTGCAAGGGCAATGGTCCAGTCAACATTTGTGCCAAGTTTGATTAGTGTTGAAGCAGTTTTTATAGTATTATAGCAATTTGAACTTGTAACGGGAGACTTTTCAAAGAAAACAGCCATTTTTCACAAAATGCTCATGAAGTAATGGGTTAAACAGTTATTAAAGCGAGTTATTGACAAGTAATCATACATTATTACGATATATATATATGACAATATTTGTCATCTGAAACTGATATATCGTTGATATACTTTGCACTAAATCAATCACAGCTCTACTAGTTTATTGACATGTGTAAAGCAGTGCCACAATGAATATATGTTTTGGATCCCAAACTGGCCATTTCATTAGTTTAAAGCATTCCCAATAATAAGAAAACCCCATATAATACAAGAAACAGAATTTTTTTTAAATTGGATTTTTAATCTATCTATCTTCCACTGAACCCCTCACAGGGACGTAGACATGTATGCGCGTCAAAATCGCAAAAGAGTTAAAAAAGAGTTGTTTTAAAAGAGAACTTAAAATGTTAAAAACAGGGGGCTGGATTTCTAGAAATAACATTTATGTCATGGTTCAAAATAGTTCACTATTTAGGGGAGAAGATGTGTAGGTGGCCGGGTAAGACTAAGAGCTGCTGTAAGGTATTCAGAGGGTCTCCAGTTCGAGTCGTGGTCATGCTGCACATTTTTCTCACTGTGACATTTGCCGCCCAACGGGGGACCGTGACTGTTTATAGCTCAGAGTTTAATTTACATTGCTCTGTAACTCTGTGAAATTCGAGGAATAATTTCAATATAGCAGTGGAGTATGTCATGGTTTAGAACTATTTAGGGGAGATGTGTAAGCGGCCAGATACCTTAGTCGGCAGAGCCGCGATACAGTATTCCAAGGGTCCCAGGTTCAAGTCCCAGCCAGGTACACGTTTTTCTCGCACTGTGACATATGGTTCATCTCTTGTCACATTTAGAGTTTACTTGCTACAAATGGGTTGAACTGAACTGAATAAGTCAACACACATACAGATTAAGTCGGGCATTTTTCTCTTAGACAAAATTTCAGAAATGAAAGTGGGTGGGGATATGCATCTTACCTATGGTGGATATAAATGTTGTGTTGAATGCATCATCAGAGAATCTGAACAACAAACAGGTTTTACCAACGCCAGAATCACCAATAAGCAACAATTTAAACAATAAATCATATGTCTTTTTAGCCATTCTAATCTAACTAACTAAACGGTAAATATGCCAAAATGGCGGACGCTCAATCAACTTTCTGTTTCTGCTGAACTTGCGCGATATACACAGGTTTATATCACATACAATATAAAATCATTTTGTCTGATTATCTAAACACTCGAAAATCTTCAAACAGGGCAATAAACTAATTGTTTAATTGCGACTTGTTTCCATTTATTGAAATGATTTCAGTATACGAACGTCACTTCCTTATCGGGTGACTTTTTGCAAGGGAGGCTACCGCACGATGCTACTGAGTCATTTTCATTGTTGTGGGATGCTAAATTTTAACAAGGTTAAATACAACTAAATATATCTACACCATTTCATGAATTTTCAATAAAACCTGTGATTAGAAATAGTATAATATCACAAGACTCGTCTAAAAAAATCAAACTAAAGCATAAAATTAAGAAACAGCCGAAATATTTCATAATTCCCTGTACCACACATATTTTATTCATGAAATGTATGGTACCTTTTTTGCAGAAGCGCGTACAAGTCATTCTCTCTCCAAATATCAAATCGGCGATGGACGGATATCTATGGAAGAGCGTTAGTGCCAGTTTTTATCAACTCGAAATTTCGAGTCAGCAACTCGAAATTTCGAGTTACTTATCTCGAAATTTCGAGTTACTTATCTCGAAATTTCGACTTCCGTAACTCAAAATGTCGACTTATTAACTCGAAATGTTGACTTACTAACTCGAAATTTCGACTCACTAACTCAAAATTTAGACTTACGTCGTAACTCGAAATTTTGACTTATTAACTCGAAAATTTCAACTTACTAACTTGAAATTTCGAGTTAACTTACTAAAGACATATTATTTCAAAGTAAAAAGATACATATATTTATGCACAACATATTGCTTCTTGTGAGACACATTTGTGTTAATTGGTTAGGTGCTTTAAGTAAAATTATATGATCATGAGTTGTCTGTTCTTGTTTTCAATGACAACTATCCTCTATATTTTTGTTGTTTCATTTTTGTATTTCTTTTAGATCTAGTCATTGTGTATATCATGGTGCTATTTTTTCTACGATTTAAGCCCCCACCCCAATTTCCTGGAGACACATATAAAGGTAGTTATTGCTTTAGTTTGTCACGATTTCGCACTTTCTCCAAATGAAAATTTTTCATGAGATTCTAGTCAAAAGTCACTGTATGTGTAGTAACCACCTTCCAGCCGCACCTGCTACATAACTTGAGAACAGTTTGTCCAATGATCGTCATATATAATAGGAATGTTATAGCGACGACATCACCGTTCTTAATATAGAGTGAATAGCTACTAAACATAATGACCAATCAATTACTCACGAATGGTTTCATAGTTATGTTTTGTTTGGTGAAGTTTAATTTATTATGTAAAACTTTATTGTGACTCTGGAAGAGAATCCTAATAAATGGAGAAATTAAATTTTGCAACCACACTTCTTTTCATTGCACGTCGAGGCTTATTATACGACAGTAATTGTGTCTTTCTGTCTTTTTTATGCTCGACTATAGTCGCCACCTTGTCCGTTCGTCCGAGCAAACATTTTTGATAAAGGGGCTATATAACAGTAAAAAGAACAAAAGATAACAATATATTCATTCCATGAAAAAAAGAGCTTATGGCTAATAGTTTATAACTCGAAATTTCAAGTTAGTCGAAATTTCGAGATGATAAGTCGAAAATTCGAGTTAATAAGTCTAAATTACCAGTTACGCAAGTCGAAATTTCGAGTTCTATATCTATCGAAATTTCAAGTTAATAGGTCGAAATTTCGAGCTAAATAACAAAGAGTTTATGGGCTTATACTTTATAACTAGACATTTCGAGTTAGTAAGTCGAAATTTCGAGTAAATAAGTCGAAATTTTGAGTTAAGTAAGTCGAAATTTCGAGTTAGTAAGTCGAAATTTCGAGTTTGTAAGTCGAAATTTCGAGCTAATAAATCAAAATTTCGAGTTAATAAAAATACACCTGGCACAAATGCTCTTCCGTAGTTATCAAATTTATGTTTATTCCAGAGATAAAAGAAAAACAACATTGAACACTAATCTATGTCATTAGTTGTATATGTGTCATGTAAAGTGTACGTTGATCTTCTATTTTGTAAATGCTAAGTGTGCTTTGGATTGGCGGATTCAGTACTATACTAGTACTAGTAATTGTTTTGAAGCTCATATTGAGATATCTTTCAGAATTTCTTTGCATTTTGTTTAAAAGCACATTATGCCTCAACAAATGTTTTTATTTTTATTTATAAAAAAGTTTTTAAATTTACTTTTGGTGTACTTTTATAGTATGCAAAAAGTTACTCATTAGTCAATTACCTGTACCTGGGACTAAAATTTATCTTTCTGTCCCAGCCTGAACCATCTTTTTCATCTGCTGGTTTTTTGGCAATAAGTACATTTGTACAGTCTTTAATATGAATTAGTTTTTTGTCTGGAAGCCAAACTTCTTTGTTTACGATCCCGGCAGAGCCCCGATAGAACCCCGGTGGATTGAAAACGCGCGAAAATGATTACGTTGATTAAATATAACATCAGTAAGTAATTCATGATGGTTTTCTGAATAATCCTTATGCAAGACTGGACTTGAAATGAACCGGGCTTTGCCGATCAACCGTAGCTCCATCGTCATCCCCCGAGGCTCTGCCGGCATCCTCCGGGTCTCTGTCGGCATTTATCGGGGCTCTGCCGGCATTTACCGGGGCTCTACCATAGCAATCTCCACACAGTGATCTCCCCTTAATTCTTCGGCGTAGATCTCTGCCACCAAGGTCCCAATATATCAGAATTTCTGATATACTATATTTTTTCAAAAATTGTTTTATCTACTGCTTTTATATATCAGATAAGTTTTCTCTCATTTATTTAACAATGTTTATGAATAAATAAATAAATAATATGAATATTTAGAAATAATTTTAAAAATTATGAGATTATTTTCTACCGAGACGATATTTTGATATTTTATATTTTTTAGCTTTTGAATTTATTTTTCGTTATTTTGTATACTTTCGATAATTTTTTGATAAACTATATCGAACGTAGGCACCAAAAGTTAAAAATAAAACAGAAAGAGAAAAATAACGTTAGATTTTCTTTGTAACGGTCGATATTTACATTTGAATTTCGACGTTACGTCATGTGACTTTCATCATCATGTGACCTCTTTGAAGGCAGTGATTACAATTCTGTCAAGGGAGGTAATCACTGTGAGGAGTTTGCTACCATAGCTCTACCGGCTGTATCATACCCCGGGTCATCTCCGGTTTGTGCCGGCAGAGCTACGGTGCTTAATTCCCCTGTGTAACCCCGGTCGTTCCCGACAGAGCTAAGGATTAAGCCGGCAAAGCGATACTTCTCGGATCACCCGGACCACCCCGGTGATATTAAATATTTTATTCCATCCGGGGTCGAATGCCGAATGTTCACGGATCATCTCGGACGTTGCCGGCAGAGTTACGGATGTACTCCGGTTGTTCCCGGTCGTACCCTGGTCGTTCCCGGATCACCCCGGACGTCTACCGGGGCTCTGCCGGGATGTAAGTGAAACTGCAGCTTTAGATGATTATCAAATGAAGGTAGGAATATTAAATGTGAAATAATTTGTCATACCAGTATCAAAACATAAATAAAATATTTGATCTTCCATACAAAAATACAAAATTACTATAACGTTACCAGTGGAAAAGAAGCTAAAGATGGTCTAGCTACGTGGTCATTGAGTTTCGTTCAAGAAACTGTAGCAGAACCCAAAAAATCTGTTAGGAAACAAAATGAGTCACTCCTTAAAAGAATGAGGACTTGAAAAGGAACCATTTTGACATCTAGCGAGCTCTGGCTTATTTGGGGTATTTTTCGATTTTCGTTTGTAGACTGAAAAGGAACCAAACCGAGACAGTTTAAGTGAGAATAATTTTTCATTGACTTTACCCGCAACTAGTTAACGCACATGCCCCGGGTCCGATTATGGATCGCCGGGCCCCCGCTAGCTCTGCCGGGATTGTAAGTGCAAACTGCACTTTAGATGATTGATAAATGAGTGGGATATTATGGAAATAATTTGTAAAGTTCAATAAATGTTTTGATTTTTAAAAAACTTAAAACATAATTCTGAAAATCTAGTCTCCTATATCAGCTTTGCCCAAAAATAAAAGACCAAAAATTTGAAACTGGTAAAAGAATGAAAAGGACCATTTTCAATGTATAACGCTAACATTTATTGCTCCTTAACGAAAATGACGTCACGTCAAAATGTATACACGGCCGGTGCAATACCATTTTTCTATTTATGATAGAAATTTTTATGTTTCATTTTTTCGCAACCACATTCCAAAATTTATAACCCAACGTTGTTTACGACAGAATTGCTTTATTATAATAGTTCCTCCTGATTTATGTTAATTTCCAATTTGAATTAAGTATTTTTTGATATCTACTTTGCGGTATATTCATCGTGCACGGGTTTAATCATATAATGAAAATAACTTTTAAGGCATATTTAAGTGTAAGGCAGTCATTGATTGATTTAACAAAAGTGGATCCGGGAGACTTAAGTCGGATTTCTTTCTGTGGTAGTTTAATGCACAAATTAATCAAAACTTAACCAACATTAGACATTCTTCTTTGACGCGAGAACCCTTATCATACCTCTAACATCTGTATAATCCCGAACGTATTGTCAACTGATTTGATTGGGATGTTATCAATCAGAGAATAATTGATAAAAAATAACATTTCTTATTAGAAACGAATATTTAAACAATAGGCACGTGTCAATCGACATATTGTTTTGTTGAAATGTTTCGTGATAGCGCCGCCTAGTGTCAAACGAAAACTGTTTATAGGAGACTGTAATGAATATTAAACAGGATTAGATGTAACAAAGTGAACCGGGAGACTGTGTCAATAAATAGAAGTGTGGCATATTAAACTACCACAACATCAACACCATACATCACTAAATCTTAATTTTATATAACTGTATCATCATGCACTAAACTTTGCTTTAAGACTATTATTTTTTTTAGTTAATGTTATCTTTAAGTTTATAGAATAACACTGTTTATGCATCTTGCTTAAACATCGCAATTCCCAACGTAATTCAAATAAAGAAAACGGGCGATGAAGCTTTTTGAATCTTCAAAAGAAAAAGAATGAAATAGAGGATATTTAAGTTTTTCTATAAATACAGAATTTACTTTCATCGAGTGGCGGTAGTGAAATATGAAAATTTTCATTCCACAAGATGAATGTAAATGCTGTATTTATAGAAAAAAAAACTTGAATTTTCTTTAAAGTATATACATTTGTCTCTTTTTGACATTATAATTTTGAAATAATTTTCCTTAAATAATGTGTGCTGGGTGACTTTAAAAGAAGTAGTCCGACAAGACAGCAGTGAAAAATAAATTTTAAAGTGAAAATAACGCATTTTATTTCATCATTTTTTCTCAATATTTCATTTGTAAGGTAATAGAAAAAGATAATAAATCTCATACGATTTGTAGATTTCTCTTTTATTTTGAAATTAAATGTTTGCGATTTTAAAGATATCTTTATTTTAAATAAAATACAGTATATACAGGAACAGAACAGAACAGAACGATACCAGCCTCTCACCAGAAGTATAAAGTTACCTCGTGCAGAAATTCTCTACTATTTATAATGATTTTATAGGCAGCCCCGCATTTTAACGGGAAATAAACACAACCAACCGTACGTGGAATTAGAAACCAGTAATAAATAAGGATCAGATGGAGATTTATTTCTGTTATATGTATAAAGTTAGGCAACAATACAACATCTATATGTCAAGGCAAGGTATCTTAAAATACATGTAAATACAATATATATTTCTTAAAAGAAACTATTTCAGATATTTATTGATAAATTGTTAATCTAGTTCAGCTACTTTTATAAAAACATTGAATTGTTTTATATACATGTACAAGTTTGCAGCTGTGACATATACGTAGTATGATAAACCCCAGGTTGCACGGCGCAAACATATTTTTTTCAAAGTTGATATATTTCTCAATATTTTTCAGTTACTGTTGTAGAAATGTTTATTTTGTTGAATTACTGATATATTCTGAAGCTGATTCTACTGATACACGCTTCTGTAAAAGTCCATGAACAAATATAAATAATTCCAACAACATCATTATCTATTTCATATTGCTTGTATGTAAAAGGACCGTGATTTCTCCATCATACAATGAAAACAAGTACGTAAGAAGTTGACAAAAAACATTGGATTATTGTATTGTTTCATCAAAGTATCAACAATGTGCACAATTCATAAAATAATATGATAAAGACTGGATAATATTTTGTAAAAAAGCTTAAAGTTTGCATGTATAGCAGTGTATAATATACATACTAATACTCCGCCGCTGAACGTTTTTTTTTTAATTGTGTACATGTTTCAACGGAAGCGTAAATATGTAGATATATGATTTGATGAAAGCAAAGGGCAAGTTTATTTAGTCGTCTTCTCCAATGCTTTCCCCGTAACCTTCAGGGGAGGAGCTTAAATCAGACGACATATTAGACCTTATCCGCACGTTTTCCATTCTCATTATGTCATGTCCTCGATTTCTAAAACACGGACCTTCTTCATTTTGATTTTTATCTGACTCACAATTTTTCTTGTCATTTTCTTGAAACTCTACGACATTTGAAAGAAGTCTGATGTACCTAATGGCAAAACGTAAAATTTCACTTTTACTTAGTTTTTTATCAGGTGGATGTGTTGGTAGCAGACGTCTGAGATCAGTGAACGCGGTATTGACGTTCTGTTGACGCCATCTTTCTCTAGTATTTGTGTAATTTCTTCTGTTGCAGACTCTACGATGTGTACCAGTTTCCTGGGTCATGTCAGAAATTCGTCTGCAAAGCTTATTTCGCAGATCCAGAGGCAGATCATTCTGTACATCAGACGATACTGACGTCACCGTAGCACGTGTTGATGGAAACACTTGATTGGGTATTCTATCTAAACAAATATAATTAGATTGACTATATTCAGAGTCAAGAAACACATTGTCGTCATGCTCATCTCTATTTTCACAATTTTCGATATCATCGTCTGTCAAACTAAAAGAATCGACCGATATATCGCTTTGATATCGATATTTTTCACGCTTTGCTCCCTCTGATGATATTTGCCTTTCTATCAACAAACAAGATTCGGGTATGCCGTCTGGTGCTGATAGGTCAGTCGGTGAGACAAGACTGGAAGTCCGACGCCGACGAATAGCAGACGACATCTCTGAAATGACATAAATTAACAGAAATTTATCCAATAATTTGACTTGAACATGTAGCTTTTAAAACTACGTTGAATACAGTATTGTGTAACTGTATTGTATCATTGCTTTCTTTTCATATATACGTAAACATATCTTTTTCTCATTCCATTCAGATATTACAACTTTACACGACACAATAAAAATCTACGAATATAATGTTTTAGAAAATACAAGTACAAATTAAAAAAGGATTTTAAAATATTAAACATTTTATCAGTCCCGGATCGTGTGATTTTATTTTAATCTCAAACTGCTCAAACACTCGTCCGTTGTATTCGATTGCATTTCCCACGAAACTCATGCATTTTGACTGCATTCCAAGAACCATGTTTATTAGATATCTAAATGAAGTCTTTTAATCAAAAGTTTAATATACTGATGACGTATATATGATTCTACAAGATCTCATTTTTTCCTGTTTTATGAAGCTATGTTTATACACACTGCAGCATATTTGTTTATAATTTCAATTTATTTACTGTTTGAAATATGACAGTTGTAACCGTTAAGAAGTCTGTGATTTTAATTGCCCCCGTTCTACGAAGTAACAAACGCGCAGGCGTGTTTTAAACATATCATTTCAAACGTTTAACTTGCGCTTAAATATTTCTATTTTGACAGGAATGTTTGCAAGAAAATTTAGATGTATGTATCTTATCATAATGACAAGTTTTACAATTATCTTTGACTCCAATGGAATTAGATATTTTCCAAAAAAATCCGCATCAAGTCTATCAAATAGTTTATGTAGTTTAGTCTGTAATTTTTTTTATATGAATTTATATGATTTTTTTTAGGAAAGATAACAATTTCAGCTCAAGAAGTATTTCACACTTAATTTAGAAGAAAATCTAACTCGAACTTTAGTCGTATGATCAGATCTATCACTGTCTTTTATATAAAATGGGTTCGTTAATTAGGACATGTCTGGTGAGGACGAAATAATAGGTATGGTTGGTGAAGTTGGGTTAGTGCGGGCATGGCTGGTGAAAGCATGCTGGTGGTGTCTGTCTTGTTAAGACGAAATAATAGGTCTCGGTTGGGGAAGAAAGGTTGGTGGGGTAAGGTTGAGGAAGACTATGTGGTGAGGTATGACCTGTGAAGACGGAATGGTGAGAAATAGCCAGTGAAGACGAGATAGTAAAGACACTTCTGATGAAAACGGAGTGAAGAGGTTTGTGGTTGGCAGGATGACAACGTATTTATCCTATCAGTTTAGATATTTTTTTAACCAGGTTTATTAATCAAGATTATGCAAAACTTAGTCCGTTCAATATTAACTCTATCTTTTTCTTGATTTAAGTTATTTTGAGTGATTTTCAACTATTTTTATATGTACCCAGTGACATATGACTGTGAAAATGCACCGGAGTCACCTATTTTAGAAATGATAAATGACATTCATGAAATGTTCCAAGTTCGATAGGTAGATCTTGCTTGTCAAAGTGCATCAGACATGGAGAAAACCAGGTGTCCCGAAGTTAATAAGTTCTCAAGATAGTTTTTAGTGTTTGAAAATAACATATGTTGGGCCTATTTTCCGCATTAAACTTTTGACGAAACCCGAGTGTAATATCATATATGTGAAAAGAGATAAAAAATATCAACCTTTAAACTGTTAAGAGCAGAATAAAAGTAAAGTATACAATGAACAATAATTTTTATCTACCAAATAATATATAAATATGAACATAATTTTCTATTCAACATTTGAGCATTCTATAAACAATTCTGCCACTGATTTCACTATAGGTGTTAATTACATGGCAGAATTAATATAATATTGATGATATACTGAACAATACGGGACAACCATTACCTCAACAAGATGAAATATTTAAAACATCTAAAATGATTGAATACATACTGACTTCCGAATAAAAAAACAAGATGAAATATCCAAGTGATTTAATATAAGATAACACTTTTTTCTCTGCTATAAATTTCATACATACATGATGAAAGAAGAAAAGCAGTTCTTGAACTTGTTTCCCTGCCAGCAATTTCAGACATTCATACAGATGGCGACACGTTCATGGTTCTATAAATTCAAGTATTATCATTTAAGTTCTTACACACTATTTAAAGTATATAAGACTTTTTAAAACGTATAAAGCTATATACATGTATCTTCTGAACACAAATATTGTTTGGATTTTGGAATAGAATATTTCCAAAATGCCTGTATAATATCAGTGTGCTTGTTTATTGCGCATGCACGGAATCATCAATAAATGGTTAAAACCGCAAAATATTTTGTCCCGGAATATTTTATTCTGTTTATGATATTTTATGTGAGACATTCTATGTTACAACCGTTACAAGAATCGACCGAAACAAATTAATTTTAGTGTTTACAGATTTTTTGAAAATATTTCATAAATGTTATGTGATGTGGTTTGGGCTACAAAACTATTGAGTTGGAACTTATTAGATATATACACATTTATACACTCTCCCCATCGAAAAAAGTAACTAAAGAAAAATACAAAATATAATTAATCAAACTATTTATAACCATGTTGGTACTCGTAAACTATATCTTTGTCGCTTTTTGTTCATTTGTTGTTAAAAGTGTATTTTGTAATGTGTGACAATTGAAAATAAAGTTATATGTGTATTGTAGTGTACAATAGAGGACATCAATGTGTGTTGATTAACACAGGGTCCTTATGATTGATGTGTTGCAAGCATGCATTGAACATTTCCTTTCATTTACTTTAAATCTGCATTTTATAAATATGTAAAAATATTTCACCGTAGTCCTAAAAACCAAACATTCTACTGTTTCATTAACCTTGGCAATAGTATTGTTGTAAATCTTATCAAATATTGTGCAGAAATAATAATTATAAAAGTAATTTTGGTCGTCTGGACAACAAAATAAGAACAGGACTCAAAATGAAACCCATTTTATCAACGGAATTCAGCTATTTCTATGAGTTTTATAATGCAGTTTTAAGTTTTCTTTTTAAATTTTAACAGTTATTTATACGATATAAGGTTTTGTATATATTTATATGTGAATAAAGTGTTTAAATGTATATGTATTGAATTATTTCAGGGATGACGAAACCTTAGTAACGGCATGCTTGTCTGTGAACTGAATCCATGTTTTATGAAATAGAAGCTGCCCAATTAGACGTGATATCAGTCATATTTCAACACCATTTGTGTAAGTGTTTATTTCTCTCGTGATGGGGAGACAATTAACAGCGCACCTGTAACAGACTGTATCTGTCATATCACGTGATAAGATGTAGGTCTTCTAAAATGCTCGTTTACAATGTGATTACATTAAAAAATTGAAGAGAAAGCAAACTGTGCATGATAATCATTTATTCCATGGCTAAATTCCCAATACTTGTTGTAATAATTAATTAAAAATGAATTTATTTGCTATAGAGTATTTGTTATGTTGAAATGATTTATTGTTGTTTTAACATTATTTAAAAAATAAAACATGACTATGAGTGCATTATGCAAATTTACGGACTGGTTGGTCAGACTGAGGAAGGTATATGGCCCGAATATAAATCAATATAAAATGTAGGAACATGTTACGTCCAAAAATGTACATTAACACTCTAATATAAAATTGTTAGATCTGTTTGTGATTTTTTTATAATAACGACTGCCATAAGTTAAAATGTACAAATATTTCTGCAAGCAAAACATACATAAATGATATTTATATTAAGTTAATTTTTAAACGATATACGTATACAATGTAACAATGTATGATTATTAAACTATTGTACAGCAGTTGACAACGTAGAACATACAATAAATTATTGTAATAATCAATTTAACGACATAATCAATATAAGAAAAATCAATTCAACACGATTCTTAGAGAAAATGTTTTTCAGAGAACACTTAAAAGGTTCATTGTTAATATATAAATGGAAGATAAAAATCAAGAACATATCAAGTATCATCTCCTTATATTTAAACACAAGTTAACTGTTTTGCAAGTGGATTTACGTAATAATATTAATATTGATGCAGTGACCGCAACTTAAACAGTCAATTGTTGGTTCAGTGGTATATATTACAAGTATTTTATTACGTGTCCGTAGAATGAGCTTGAATGATCAAATTGTTCACCGTTTAAATACAGTTTAAATTATAACATTGTTTACATTTTAAATAATCACATTGTTTACATTTTAAATGATCACATTGTTTAAACTTCAAATGATCACACTGTTTACAGTTCAAATGTTCAAGTTGCTTACAATTGAAATAATCACGTTATATATTGTTCAAATGATCATATTATTTACTGTTCAAGTTCACGTTGCTTACAATTGAAATAATCACGTTGTGTATTGTTCAAATGATCATATTATTTACTGTTCAAATGTTCACGTTGCTTACAATTGAAATAATCACGTTGTGTATTGTTCAAATGATCATATTATTTACTGTTCAAATGTTCACGTTGCTTACAATTGAAATAATCACGTTATATATTGTTCAAATGATCATATTATTTACTGTTCAAATGTTCACGTTGCTTACAATTGAAATAATCACGTTGTGTATTGTTCAAATGATCATATTATTTACTGTTCAAATGTTCACGTTGCTTACAATTGAAATAATCACGTTGTGTATTGTTCAAATGATCATATTATTTACTGTTCAAATGTTCACGTTGCTTACAATTGAAATAATCACGTTGTGTATTGTTCAAATGATCACGATAGTAATAATAAAGTGATCAAATTGTTTATACTAGCAAAATGACAACAAAGCTTATAATACGTATTAATCGAATTGTTTACTGTATCAATTATTTTAACTTTAAAGTAAACTCATTGTTATGTTTGAAATTAAAATGTTTTAAGCATTAAAGTTCGCAATATTCTATGAACGAAATGATCTTATATTACTCACAATAATATGATCACATTGCCAATAGAAAATACTTTTTCTAAAATTGTTTGCAAGTATCAAACGATTTAAAGTTTAATGACCAATGGTCGTATTATTCATAGCACTGTTCATAATGTCAGATTTAAAGGAAATACACCAACTTATGAAACCGAGGTTTAAAAGCCTAAAAACATAACATTTGAATTTCTTACATAAATGAGCTGCGGCACTTTAAACATAAATATATACAAATACTCGTATAGTTAAGAAATATACTTTGAAATAAATAGAAAATCGTATTTGTATGCTTTTCTAAGCCGGATTTGAGTTAAAAGCGTTTAAACGCTTTTCATTTTGGGTCATTTTTTACAATTTGAATAATTATTCTGGAAAAAACGAAGTGCGCGAATGGTCTGAAATTTTGCACAATGATTAGAGGTCTAAACCTTCATCATATAGTGCATTAATCTGGAAAAATACTTTCAGTCCCATAATGTCAAAAACCTCAGCGGAGTCCCTTTAATATGAATTACCACTTTTATTTAAGAAAGACATTTTTCTACAATAATGCGCGTTACAATTATTTATATACAGTGTAAATTAATCGTGTACAAAGATAATTTTTTAGCGAATGACCGTTCTAAAGTTGATATCTTGAATTATACTGGTTCAATAGCTTCATTTTGACCCTCATCCGGTCAAGACAAGAAGAATTCGTAAATGTTTGTTTCTCACATAAAAATAATAATAATAACAATATCTTCAGTGTTCTATTGTTTATAAATGAATCCGTTCCTACCAGGATATAATTGAGAATTAAAAACATATTTCTGAATGTGTCATGCGCATTTTTGTAATAAAAATTGAGTTGTATACTTAGATACTGACGTTGTTAAAATGCGCGTGAGTTTAGGAAAAATCAGATCGTGTAAAATACATCAGATCTGATTCACAATCGTACCTTTGTGAAAATTACTTATCATGCACGGAATCTTTATTCCCTGGAAATTGAAATGGTTTCTTAAACATGAAATGCAGTAATCTAACTTACGTCTTAAGTTGAAATAACTTCAATTAAAATTATGATACGTCTGTGATGTCATTGTTATGTAACAGGTTATGTCATCTTTGATTAAATTTATCTAGACAAATTTTCTTATATAACTATATAAAATGACGGGCGGGGTAAAAGATAGTGAAACAAGATTATGATTTAAAACTATAAATCCATGTTGAAAGTACGGTTAAAACAAAAGAAAACAAGATTATTTATATGATATTATTGATATGATGTTATTGATAAGATATTATTGATATGATATTATTGATATGATATTATTGGTATGATGCTATTGATGTGATGTTATTGATATGATGCTATTTATATGATGTTATCGATATGATATTATTGATATGATATTATTGATATGATGTTATTGATATGATGCTATTTATATGATATTATTGATATGATATTATTGATATGATGTTATTGATATGATGCTATTTATATGATGTTATCGATATGATATTATTGACATGATGTTATTGATATGATGCTATTTATATGATATTATTGATATGATATTATTAATATGATGTTATTGATATGATGTTATTGATATGATGCTATTTATATGATGTTATTGTCAATCCTATGAAATTGAAACTTTGCAGAATATTACGCTAATTTTAATGACAAGTTGTTTTAGAATAAATAGATCAAATGTACAAAAGAATTGGGGGAAAAGGGAAGGATATCATATGACAAAATGCAAGTTCAACAAGATTATGTATGGGTGTCATTAAGTGAAGATGAAATAAAAAAAAATATTCCGTATGTACTGGTACATTTATTCAAACAACAGATTTTATTCGGTATGTTCGCGATTAAAATAAAACTGTCCGTGTGTATTCTACAAGGAATCAAGAGTTACAAGCTTTTCATAGATTCTCTACTTTGTAGAAATATTGTCCACTTACATTTGTTTATGTTTCCTCTAAAAGGCATGATTATTTTTCATCATTAGAACAAAAACTGAACTCAAACTTATAAGATAAACAAGGAGGGTTATTACACATTTCGATTGGTAAAAAACTAATTGATACTGTGATAAAGAGCATGCGAGAAGAAAACAAAACATAATTCTACTTTGTACAAGATTCTGGCCAAATTATTTCAGCTAAACAAAGACAACATGAAGTGCGACAACTTGAAACTGTTGGAGATTTAAGTACGCCTTAATCCATATCTGATTGCGATCACAAAATGTCTGTATAATTTACAGATGTAACCCTATACATTGCCACTTCACTTCCTTCAATAAAGCCGCTATTATTTATAAATCATGCACGCTGCCTCTTTAAATAGATATTGCCTTTTTTCTTTATCTTTTGGAAGAAAAGTTGATATTGTTCATTTTTTCTAAGCGACTTTGTATAATGAATAACTGCAAACTATTATGTAAAAAAAGCCAACAAACAAACTACAGCGTTATGAAAATATCAATTTTTGTTTTAAAAGATAATATATTTAAACTTAATAAACTTAACATTTACGTTACTCCAAGGGACATAGTTTTATACATTTGTTTTAATTTAAGCCTCTTCTTTTTTCAAGGCAGGTAGATTTGTGGAAAACAATTAAATAAAATGAAAAACTAAAATATATGTTAATAATTAATAAGTTTCTATATTATTAATGGCAGGAATAATTTATAAATATACTAATTTGCAATCATAGAATTTAAACAAAATTTTATGTATACTTTTGTCTTTCTTTAATTTAAAACTGTGATAAGTCATTTTCATGCCTCTCTTTGTCAAAACCATCAGTATCTAAGGACCACAATGGAAATAAGAGATTTAGTTCTCTTTTTGTGTTATCCTTGGTATGATGTTTTTGATATGGTGCATTTCTTTACATTGATATTTGTTTTTTATTGTTTTATCATGTATTGGATATGTTTTTACCATGTTATTTACTGAATACTGAAATAAATCTATCTAAACAAGGCACAAAAATGATATTTAAGGTTATAATAATATACATGTATAAAGCATACTTTTCAACCAACATACAATCAAATTTTACACCTTACACATGCAATATTTGATGCGTTAAATCTTTTTGTAGAAAATTCTTATTTTATATAAAAATAAATAAAAAATATATACATGTATTGTCAATTTACTGATGACTTTGATTTATGAATTTGTACAAGAATCACTAGTTTTATACAAAGGTAGTTATATCTAGTATTGTTAATAAATTATCATCTAGAACTATATATAAGACTTTTTTTTGATAATCGGTATTACTAGTTTAATAATAAAAAAATGTAAACAGTTAATGGACTGATTAAATAATTTTCTTTCATTAAATATTTCAAAATGTCCCCGAAATAAAGGATTGCAAATCGAGGCGTTATTGAAATGTACACTTTTATTAAAGATGCAAAATTAAGAAAGGAAAACTTACTTTTATCGATGAGGTACCATTAAGAAAGTATGTGTCCGTATCTTTAGTATATTCCACAACAAATCACCAACTTTGATAGCTCAGACTCCGCAGCAGTATCTAATCACGTGACTACCGCTCATAACCAATCGCACGCGCGTATAGAATGAAGGCGTTCTTTTTGTCTGTCGAGAAAAAAGTAAATAAAATAGGTAGTCTTATAGCAACGAATCTCATGTTTTAATGCTACAAATAGTGTGTATTAACAGTTTAATTTCAGAAAGAAACTTTGTTTAAGTTGTAAGCACATATTACTGATTGTGTGTAATCATTTAGTAAATGATCTTTGCAATTACACCAACAAACAAACACATAACTTGCATATAATGCATATTACTCAATAAATAAATAAATAAATAAATAAATAAATAAATAAATAAATAAATAAATAAAAAATAAATAAATAAATAAAATGGATTTGAACATTTTGCTGTCTTTAAAATTTCGAATGTTATTTTCTTCAAATTATTTGCTCCGAAGATGAGTTTTTACATTGGCCGGCTTCTTCAGCAAACCGGATAGATACTTAGTGGATACCATAAGGGTCAACATCCGGAAACTGTTCTTGTTTACGTAGTTCATAATAAACATTATTAAAATCCGGAAGTAAGGATGCTCGTCCAACTGTTTCTTTACAAGTATATTTGAAGTGAAGGGTCAATAGACACAACTAGAGATATTGTAAGTACTTAATACATAAACTTCCGAAATTTTACATGTTTAACGAAATAATGAAAACTTAAAAGGCATGCAGTTTTGACTGACCGATATTATATAACTAGCAATTATTTTTACATTATCGGTATAACATTTGATAACAGTGTGCTAAAAACAATATCTAATTCTTTTCTCTGGCCTAATATCCAATATAACACCCCTGTGATCGTTTTTGCCCGTAGTTACTCCTGCTAAAGTTTTTGTCTGCAATAATTCCTGTGATGATTATTGTCTGTTATAATTCCTATGAAAGTTCTTGTATGAAATAGTTACTATGACAGTTCTTGTATGTAATAGTTCCTATGATAGTTTTTGTATGCAATAATTCCCATGATAGTTCTTGTATGTAATAGTTCCTATGATAGTTCTTGTATGTAATAGTTCCTATGATAGTTCTTGTATGTAATAGTTCCTATGATAGTTCTTGTATGTAATAGTTCCTATGATAGTTCTTGTTTGTAATAGTTCCTATGATAGTTTTTGTATGTAATAATTTCTATGAAAGTTCTTGTATGTAATAATTCCTATGATAGTTTTTGTATGTAATAGTTCCTATGATAGTTCTTGTATGTAATAATTCCTATGATAGTTTTTGTATGTAATAGTTCCTATGATAGTTCTTGCATGTAATAATTTCTATGGTAATTCTTGTATGTAATTATTCCCATGATAGTTATTGTATGTAATAATTCCTATGATAGTTATTGTATGTAATAATTCCTATGATAGTTCTTGTATGTAATAATTCCTATGATAGTTGTTGTTTGTAATAATTCCCATGATAGTTCTTGTATGTAATAGTTCCTATGATAGTTCTTGTATGTAATAGTTCCTATGATAGTTCTTGTTTGTAATAGTTCCTATGATAGTTTTTGTATGTAATAATTTCTATGAAAGTTCTTGTATGTAATAATTCCTATGATAGTTTTTGTATGTAATAGTTCCTATGATAGTTCTTGTATGTAATAAATCCTATGATAGTTCTGTATGTAATAGTTCCTATGATAGTTCTTGTATGTAATAATTCCCATGAAAGTTCTTGTATGTAATAGTTCCTATGATATCTTGTATGTAATAGTTCCTATGATAGTTCTTGTATGTAATAGTTCCTATGATAATTCTTGTATGTAATAATTCCTATGATAGATTTTGTATGTAATAGTTCCTATGATAGATTTTGTATGTAATAGTTCTTATGATAGTTCTTGTATGTAATAGTTCCTATGATAGTTCTTGTTTGTAATAGTTCCTATGATAGTTCTTGTATGTAATAGTTCCTATGACAGTTCTTGTATGTAATAGTTCCTATGATAGTTCTTGTATGTAATAGTTCCTATGATAGTTCTTGTTTGTAATAATTCCTATGATAGTTCTTGTATGTAATATTTCTAATGATAGTTCTTGTATGTAATAGTTCCTATGATAGTTCTTGTATGCAATGATTCCCATGAAAGTTCTTGTATGTAATAGTTCCTATGATAGTTCTTGTTTGTAATAATTCCTATGATAGTTCTTGTATGTAATAGTTCCCATGATAGTTCTTGTATGTAATAGTTCCTATGATAGTTCTTGTATGCAATGATTCCCATGAAAGTTCTTGTATGTAATAGTTCCCATGATAGTTCTTGTATGTAATAGTTCCTATGATACTTCGTGTATGCAATAATTCCTATGATAGTTCTTGTATGCAATAATTCCTATGATAGTTCGTGTATGCAATAATTCCTATGATAGTTCTTGTATGTAAAAGTTCCTATGATAGTTCTTGTATGTAATAGTTCCCATGATAGTTCTTGTATGTAATAGTTCCTATGATAGTTCTTGTATGTAATAGTTCCTATGATAGTTCTTGTATGCAATAGTTCCCATGACAGTTCTTGTATGTAATAGTTCCTATGATAGTTCTTGTATGTAATAATTCCTATGATAGTTCTTGTATGCAATAATTCCTATGACAGTTCTTGTATGTAATAGTTCCTATGATAGTTCTTGTATGTAATAGTTCCTATGATAGTTCTTGTATGTAATAGTTCCTATGATAGTTCTTGTATGTAATAGTTCCTATGATAGTTCTTGTATGTAATAATTCCTATGATAGTTCTTGTATGTAATAATTCCTATGACAGTTCTTGTATGTAATAGTTCCTATGATAGTTCTTGTATGTAATAGTTCCTATGATAGTTCTTGTATGCAATGATTCCCATGACAGTTCTTGTATGTTATAGTTCCTATGATAGTTCTTGTATGTAATAGTTCCTATGATAGTTCTTGTATGTAATAATTCCTATGATAGTTCTTGTATGTAATAATTCCTATGATAGTTCTTGTATGCAATGATTCCCATGACAGTTCTTGTATGTTATAGTTCCTATGATAGTTCTTGTATGTAATAGTTCCTATGATAGTTCTTGTATGCAATAATTCCTATGACAGTTCTTGTATGTAATAGTTCCTATGATAGTTTTTGTATGTAATAGTTCCTATGATAGTTCTTGTATGCAATAATTCCTATGATAGTTCTTGTATGCAATAATTCCTATGATAGTTTTTGTATGTAATAGTTCCTATGATAGTTCTTGTATGTAATAGTTCATATGATAGTTCTTGTATGTAATAGTTCCTATGATAGTTCTTGTATGCAATAATTCCCATGATAGTTCTTGTATGCAATAATTCCTATGATAGTTCTTGTATGTAATAGTTCCTATGATAGTTCTTGTATGTAATAGTTCCTATGATAGTTCTTGTATGCAATAATTCCTATGATAGTTCTTGTATGCAATAATTCCTATGATAGTTCTTGTATGTAATAGTTCCTATGATAGTTCTTGTATGTAATAGTTCCTATGATAGTTCTTGTATGTAATAGTTCCTATGATAGTTCTTGTATGTAATAATTCCTATGATAGTTGTTATATGCAATAATTCCTATGATAGTTCTTGTATGCAATAATTCCCATGATAGTTCTTGTATGTAATAATTCCTATGATAGTTCTTGTATGCAATAATTCCTTTGATAGTTGTTGTATGTAATAATTCCTATGATAGTTCTTGTATGTAATAATTCCTATGATAGTTCTTGTATGCAATAATTCCTATGATAGTTCTTGTATGCAATAATTCCTATGATAGTTCTTGTATGTAATAGTTCCTATGATAGTTTTTGTATGTAATAGTTCCTATGATAATTATTGTATGTAATAATTTCTATGATAGTTCTTGTATGTAATAATTCCTATGATAGTTCTTGTATGTCATAATTCCCATGATAGTTCTTGCTATGATAGTTATTGTATGTAATAATTCCTATGATAGTTCTTGTATGAAATAATTCCTATGGTAGTTCTTGTATGTAATAATTCCCATGATAGTTCTTGTATGTAATAATTCCCATGATAGTTCTTGTATGTAATGATTCCCATGATAGTTCTTGTATGTAATAGTTCCTTTGATAGTTCTTGTTTTGTAATAATTCCTATGATAGTTCTTGTATGCAATAATTCCTATGATAGTTGTTTGTATGTAATAATTCCCGTGATAGTTCTTGTATGTAATAATTCCTATGAAAGTTCTTGTATGTAATAATTTCTTTGATAGTTGTTGTATGCAATAATTCCCATGATAGTTCTTGTATGTAATAATTCCTATGATAGTTCTTGTATGCAATAATTGCTATGATAGTTGTTGTATGTAATAATTCCTTTGATAGTTGTTGTATTTAATAATTCCTATGAAAGTTGTTGTATGCAATAATTCCCATGATAGTTCTTATATGTCATAATTCCTATGATTGTTCTTGTATGTAATAATTCCTATGATAGTTCTTGTATGCAATAATTGCTATGATAGTTGTTGTATGTAATAATTCCTTTGATAGTTGTTGTATTTAATAATTCCTATGATATTTCTTGTATGCAATAATTCCAATGATAGTTGTTGTATGTCATGATTCCTATGATTGTTCTTGTATGTAATAATTCCTGCGATAGTTTTGTATGTAATAATTCCTATGATAGTTCTTTTACAGTTCCTATGATAGTTCTTGTATGTCATAATTCCTATGATAATTCTTGTAGGTAATAATTCCTATGATAGTTCTTGTTTGTAATAATTTCTGTTATATTTCTTTCCTGTAATTGGTTATATAATTGTTCTTGCCTAAAGCTCATCCTGTTAAATTATTTTCTGTAATAGCTCCTTAGATAATTTTTGTCTGCAGCTGCTCAGTTGATACTTCTTAACTTTAACTGTAATAGCTCCTGTAGTTACTATCTGTAAAAACTCCTATAATAGTTCTTGTCTGTAATAACTCATGTGATAGTTCCTGTAAAAGTTGTGGTCTGAATTAACAGCTGATTTGTTATTCTTGTTGTCTTTAACAAAAACTATGAAAGAAATTGTCTTAGTCATAGTTCTTGTCTGTTATAGCTCCTTTGATAGCTTCTTTGTTG